CATATTTGTTTTTTTTTTCTTTTTTTTTTTTTTTTTTTTTTTTTTTTTTTTTTTTTGCTGTTTGCTTTTGAGTTCTTATGTTTTGGGGGGCTTATATTGGGTTTCCTTGGGATCAGACGTGCCAGTGTTTTTTTTTGTTTCTACTGCTTTTTTCCCTTCTTATTAAAGCCAATATTCCCTCTTGTTCATCAAGGGGAGAGCACAAGTCCACTGCTAGAGCTTTGTTCAGTAAAGAATAATATTGTTTGAAGAATGCAGTTGAATATTGGTTATATGTGTCTGTTGAGTTATGTCTTGAGTGACTAATTGAGCACTTATCTCTTATTTTGCTTGAGACAGAGGAATAGTCACTGGCGTGTTCAGGGTCTGGTTGGTCATCCTCAACCAATAAAGGATGGTTCTGGTCCAGGTTCAACACTTCCTGGGAGGTTTGACGAGAATAACATCACCATCACTCCTACCATGCACACAAACATACAGAACCCAATTGAATCTGACCCGAGCAGGGATGCCTCCTGTAAAGCAATGGATCCACAACCTGAATTACCATGCAAGGCAATGGCCATGCCCATGCCTTTGCAGGCAGGCATTCCGGTTCCTGTCCCTATTGATGATGCATTTTCCCATCCTCTTCAGGGGCCTGTGTCTGATGCACAATCAACTGAATGCCCCATTACTGGTGTGGCTCTGAATCAGCAGGAGGAGCTAACAATTGAAGGGGGCACAATTAGCATCTCAAGCGTGTACTCTCGGGGGTTAGCTTTTGTATAACTCTTTAGATACATGGTTTCTGTATGTTCTTTGCAGTCTATTGTGCGTGAAATTTCAATAAACCATCACAATGTCTGGCCATAATCAATTGCATGGGGTTCATATATTTTGGCTTTTCCCAATTTTTATGTCATCAGATTTTTTCTTAGATACTCATTGTGACATGCTATGAGTGTGATACATTGTTTTTTGTAATCCATTTTTGGCTTGAAGCTTGTTGGCACTTGCATATGGCTGTGTATTTTTGTTCGTGTTAGAGCTTGTTTATCTCTGCTAATTGTTTAGGAAGCTGTGCGTGGTTGGCTTGCCATTGCTGCTTAAACCATTGATTCTTCCCCATTTTAGTTTTGGTATTGGGGTAGTCTCAATTTTTGGGTTGAGCAGGACTGGTTTAGAAAGGGTACGTCCATCTAGGGAAGAGGGTTGTGTCATGTGTGCGGTCTGATATGGTGACCTCATGATTTTATTTGAAATCTAGTATTTCTCAAAGGTCTTTTATATGTGACTCTCAGTTATTGATAATAAAATGTTCAAATAATTGGGAGTTTGGCTCCCACTCAACATCAGCATTTACTCTTGTTCATGATTTATCGTGTCTGTTCTCAAAATTTAGAGATCTAATAATTAGGGTTTGCCAATTCGTATCCCTTGAAAGCATGCTTCATGTTTCTAATTTGTTTTTTGAAGAGGTTTCATGTTTCTGTTATGGAGCAGCATGTCCTCGTCAATTATTCTCATTCAAAAATTTACATGGGTGTTGAATCCTGAGTTAACAGGCTGATAATTTAATTAATCTTGATCAGGCTATTGAATACTCTGACACAAGCACTGCAAAGTGCGGGTGTCGATCTGTCTCAGGCAACCATCTCAGTGCAGATTGATCTTGGGAAACGAGCAAATAGAGGACTGACATCCGGGATATCCAATACCAAGGTCACAAACATTTTATACTAGTACCAAATAAAAGGGCTGAGTTCATTTCAAAACATGGTTAACATTATAGATAATTCATTATTTTTGGCATGACAATGGTGCTGCCTTTACCCAGCCATGAAGCTAAGCAGAATTCACGTTCCATATTCTTGTGTCTATAGAAATACATCTCATGCAGTATGCTTGCATTGGTTGCCAAGAGGAATATTGAAGAAAGGAAATTATAGAGTTTGATTTGTGGGGGACCCCCCACCCCCCTCGTTCTCCTCTTCCCCATGTTTTCTTTTTCTCTTCTCTTGTGGCTTAGTGGCTTCTTAAAAGTTCACCATAGCTTTAAAAGAAAGAATTTTATAAAACTTAGCTTTATTTGGCCAGATTTGACGTTGCATTGGCCTCTCTCTCTCTCTCACACACACACACATATGCACACGCACACAAAATGAGAAAGCAGGTCTGGATCTAACTGATGTAATTATTCCTTTTATTGCCCTCCAGGATCATGAAAGTCCCCCTTCTGGCAACCAACCGAGGGGACTCTTTGGGGATGCAATCAATGGTGAGGACTCAGAGCAAGCTCAAAAGAGGCTAAGGACATGAGAACAGTATGACACATAACCCTGATTTTCCATTTCCCCACGATTTTGGCATTTTCTGCTGGTAAACTAGTTGATTGTATATTCTCCTCTTATGGTGAGAAGTATCTGTTTGTGGACATAAAATTGTTGGCCGAAATGGGCTGCACAATCATCACCTATTGGGGGTACCGGTTACACTTTGGTGCCGAGTACAGCCAGTGTAATGTACCTCCCTACCTGTGGCTTTTGTAGGAATATTCTTGTTTGTTGGTGATAAATCCACGAAGCCCTCTCCCCCCGGTCCCGGGTTTAGTATCATTATTTGAAGTTGTTGTGTCATAATTTATTTTAATAAACTCGTTTGTGAGAATTGGATGGTCGTCTCGTCTCGTTCGTTGTGCACTGTTTTAAAGTGTTTTGACAGATAACAAATATGCAATGTTTGGATCAAGTTATTGCAGTCAACATGACCGATTCTCTCTAGTGATCACAATTCTTCACCACAAACAGTGACCTTGTTTTTCTGCTAGCATGCCAAGGTAGTAATTATCGTTGCCGCAACAGCTTTTATCTCAACCATTTAAGGGTCGGCTAAGTTATTATTGTTGCCTGTGATCTGTTATGTGTGAGTGGCTCAGTTTGGTTTTTGAAGGAAAGAGAAATCCAACATTAAAACACAGAGGACAGGGAAATGTGCCCCTCTCAATGCTACTACTAGTGTTAATGAGGCAGTCGCGCTTAGATCATATAATCGGGAGAATACGTATCATTTTAGCAAGCTCTGGGATCGAGGGCTTTTACCAAAAACCCGAGGTGGTGGGCAAGAGTTCAACGTTGCTATTCATTGAGTTCTTATCATGACCTAAGCTAGCATTGATTAATTGTGTCAGATGTCTTGTACTAATTAGAATTTGTTTATTAATCATATCCTTTTTAAATTAATGCACATTAATCTTAAACTAGAAACTTAATATTAGAACCTTCTCTCAACTAAATCTATCACTCAGATCCTATAAACTAAAAAATCACTTCATCCATTAACGAGTAAAAGCAGGCAAAAAAAAATCGACATGAATTCGCACATTACCTATGGTCAGTAAATGGAAAAATCATTAGGAATGTAGAAGAAACAATGTTTTAACTTCAAGGTAGTTCAAGTGGTAACAAAGACAAACAAAAAACTTAGACGTCTTGAGTTTAACCCTTGATAATTTATTAGGGCCAGACTATTGAAGGATAGAGATTTATTCCTTATAAATATATCTTAATCCCGATGAGGATAATCTGTTTTTAACCAAATTAGAGAGAAATTAGTTCAAGTATATGTAAGATGGATTGAACACATCTAATCGTTAAACCAAAAAGTATGCTCTTGGGACTAAAAAAACTGATCTTATGAAGTTCACAAAAAAAAGTGTTTGACAGCTGAGAGACCAACATTTGATGATCATCAATATCCACAGTACAAATATTTTTGCAAAACATTACATAGAACTATATTAAGTTTGTTGCCCATGTTTGTTGGGTATTTCTGTTTGAATCAAAGAAGAAAATTACCTAAATTTATAGGGTATTTTTTTTGAGTAAAAACATGAATGAAAGTAGGGAAAAAAAATGGTGAATTGGACCTTCCTACAATGGTGGCTTAGAGTGAGATAGTGGGTGGTGGTTCTTCTTCAATTGGTGGTAAACACTCCTGCGGATTGGACCAGAAGTAATCTTCTTCCTTGGGTTTTCCGGGGATCACCAGTCTTCTAACTGGGTTTCCCATTCGAGCTTCGTGACCTTTCTTCATCAACTTGGAGAACTCATTGAAGTTTATTTTCCTCTGGTTGTATTTGTCTACCAGAGCGACTATAAGTTTTCTGTCTGGAATAATTGTCTTCTTGAATCCTAAAAACCTGAAATGAAAACGAATCAATATATCTATAATAAAGCCTTACAAAATCAGCATGAAGTTAGTGAGTTTAGTTGTAAATAGGATTTACCCATTTCATGTTTCAATCTAATGGGTCAACATGAATTGGGCTAAATACGGCACGAATTAACGACTTATATCCGGTACAAACCCGATATTATACGAACTTGTCTAATACATTATTGTAAAAGGCCTACATACGGACTAAGCAAATTTTAATATGATACAACTTAAATACCAAATGAAATCGACATGGCTCACTAGCCGGCATGTGTAACATTGTTTTGGTAGGGCTACATAAGTAGTTTGTACAACAATTTCTATTTATTCAACTTCAGTAACTACAAAAGTCCCAACAAAATAGTTCAAACCAATAACAGGTCGAGGCGGGGGTGATTGCCTCCCCTAAAGTTCAGAAATCTTTATCGTTATGTTACTATTAGCTATGAATACTTTTAAACTATATAGACTCACCTCTTTAGATGACTTCTATAATTTTAAATACCGTTGCTAGTATATAATTTTTCTTTTCTTTTTTCCTGTTCAAATTGGATGTGAGACGAACCCATGGGGAGTGAAGAGTCGGAACCACCTCGACTAGGACGTGGTGGTGCTAAAGGGTCACCACAATTAATGCAGCATTTCATCTTGAAGAGCGAAAATATAAAGTTATACGAATACTAGAATAGAACTCGCAAAATAATTTCACGAAACAATTTACTATAGATAGCCATATAATTAGTATATACCTTCTATGGCCCTCAACAACTTGTGCCATGTTTCCTGGATATGTAGCAAAAAAGATATCGCTCTCGATCGATACTACGTAATCCAATGCTGCCATTTGAGAGGAATGGTCCTTGAAAGGCAAAAGATCTGAGTCTGGCAATAATGTCTCTTTCTTAACCTGTTTCATTTCACAAAACATGAAAAAATAAGTAATCGTACTTCAAATTTCTGAACAAGTTTAGGGACGATTCTATATAGTTTGAGTGTATAACGAATACTGCTACTAAGAGGGATTTCAAAAACCTAAGAAAGGGTGATCAATCCCACTCGTCCTCTAGATCCATCATCGATTATTACCTACCAAATTTGGGAAAGCCGCCCTCAGACTTGCTAATCTCTTTTCGGCATTGTATATATCTCCAGCAGCAATATAAACTTGGATGTTAGGATCAATGTCCAATGCCTTCAAAGTAAGAGCAGTTTCTTCAGGAGTCATCGGACACAACCCAGCTTTTCTCTTCTTTGTGGAATCTATAACCTTTTCTTTCCACCAAGGGTAATCATATCTGAAAATTACAGAATTTTAGTACAAGGTATTAGATAAAAACAACGAACGCTTAGGTACTGTTTGGTAACACTGTTTTTAAGTGTCTTGTTGCTTTGTAAATGGAACAGGTCACCTCATCTTTGTCAACTCTTCCACTTCTTTATCAGTGCAACCTTCATTACAACCAGAAAATGCTACCATGTCCATTTCATATCTAAGATGAAGAACTAGAAATGGACCGTTCTGTCCCAATATCTCAACAATCTTTCTGCCAAGCTTCTCTATGGGGTTTGCAAATCTCAGAGCATTGTAATTTACTCGACACCGCAGTTTCTGAACCTCCAAAGGAATGCCATTGTTAGCAATCCGAGCATCGCTTTTAGTCAAGTGGAGGAGTTCATACTCTTCTATCCGAGGAAGTACCTGAACAAATACATGTTACAAACGTCTTATTTAAAAGTTTAAGTTATTAGAATGGGTATAACATATATAATTTTCATATTTTGACTATATATGTGTAGATATAGAATTTTCGACGTGAAAATAAAAATAAAACCGTGACTAAAGCTAGCAAAACGAACCGTGTGAAGGTAGTAGGACATGTTGGACCAGCTAACTGGAGGCATGGAGAAGTATGTCCCCATTTCTTCTACTTTCTTTAGATGTGGAGGCAATTCTTTTATTATCCGGACCTCGTCTCTTAAGGATTTAATGAAATAATCCACATCAAATATATCGTTGAACTGACTGTCAAAAAGAGTTTTGACGAATTGTTAAGAGGGAATAGAGAGAATCTGATTGAAGTAATCAGAAGTTAGTCAATGATCTTATCATAACTCAGGTTTATAACCTTTCCCAGAATGTATAGTGATTAATAATCTAGCATACTTGTAAAGGGAAAGGAAATAAGTGTCACAATTCACAAAACGATTAGAGGGATCGATCTTATATGTTGTAAGATTTTGTCCTTGCCTTCGTACAAACCACTTGCAAAGCTTGAGCCCCTCACTAAACTATTCAGAGGTGAGGGGCTGAATACCCGAGCTAAGACTGTGGTAGTATCGTTACCTTTGATCATTCCAGAAGGAGGTCCGGTCTAGCTCAGGAACTATAAGAGTGACATTGATGTATCTTGCAATAGCCACCATGTCACATATCTATAGAACAAACCGCAATAAGGTAAGTTAGCAAGTAAAGACACCAAAATCATAAGACAAAGGTATGTTTAGTAACTACACTTACTCCGGCTCGCATTTGATTCAGTCCTCCATTGCTTGAAACCATTAGATATCCATTGCTCTTGTATACCCCTACATGAATCAATTCTAGATTTAGTGGAAGGAAGCCAAATGTATTGATACAGCAGTATATACAACTTCTAAACAATACGCGTAACAAAAAACGAGATTAAATAAGAATTATATTATCAAAATTTGAAGAACAAAAAGCTTAACAAATGGAGTAAATACACTTTTGGTCTCTAATTAACTATGCACTTAGTTGCGTTTTAATTTTCCAATTATCAAATATATGATCACTTTGGTCCTAAAAGTTCCAAATTTATGTTTCAAAGGTTTTATGGATAATTGAGGGACTACAATACAATTGAACAATCCATGCACACTTTATTTGGTGTGTGTGTGTGTGTGGAGAGAGAGAGAGAGAGAGATGCTAAACCTTTTTGACATAATTTCGTAATCTCATTTTTATAGACATTCCTTTCACATTAGATATTAAAAATACTTGGGTCTACTTTGATATATCAAAACTGTTTTGCTTATTATTCTCTTCTATTCTCCATTTGGGATATTTGGGTATGTTTCGAGCTGGACAAAGCATGCTCACACTGAGTTAATTCTGATAGTTTGATGATCTGTTTTTGATGAGATCGGTATATCTAGATGGGAACTCAACATCGGATTGCCCTCACCCTTTGTTAACCAAAAATATTTCAAATACAATCCATCACATACTAGAAAATTATGAAGGTGCAACCATATAAGCAAGAGACATCGTCAATGAATGAAGCAAACAAATCTACAAGTTATTAAGGCAAATCAAAGATTCTTCAAAGAAAAATGCTTATCATGCGGAGACACCATACTTGAGAAGCATAATACACTCACTTTCCGGTGCAAAAGAAGAAGACAACAACCGTTGCCCGTGCGCCACCCTCGGCTTCAACGCCCCTCTTATTTCCGCTAGCTGCCATGCACATGCCAATATCAGCAGTACGGTCACTACTCGTATCGCCCACTTCGTTATTTGAGCCATCCTCCGAGCAGCCCTTGAACACTTGAGCTTTTCAAATTTGATTTTTTCCAAGTACTTTAATCCCATCTTATCGAACTCCTTCTCATCAAACTTCGAATCCTTATAACCAGACATCGTCACAGCTATACAAACAATAATGTTTAGATGCAATACATGATTCAACCTATGATGTACTTTGAGTATGATTGTAACTGTCACAAACCAAGTAAATCAAATAATTACTCAAAATATTTGAATTTCCGTTCGTTCTTAAAAAAAAAAAAAGAAAAAGAAACAGTACAATACACGACTCCTGCAAGGACAGGGTCTTAGGTTTATCAAGGAGAAGATGTTAACATAGAAAAAAAAAAAAAGCAAAGAAGAACAAATAGGGTTTCGGAGGGGGGTGATTCGCACCAAAATCTGTAGTAAAATTGTTCCTTTTATAGAAGGNAGAGAGAGAGAGAGAGAGATGCTAAACCTTTTTGACATAATTTCGTAATCTCATTTTTATAGACATTCCTTTCACATTAGATATTAAAAATACTTGGGTCTACTTTGATATATCAAAACTGTTTTGCTTATTATTCTCTTCTATTCTCCATTTGGGATATTTGGGTATGTTTCGAGCTGGACAAAGCATGCTCACACTGAGTTAATTCTGATAGTTTGATGATCTGTTTTTGATGAGATCGGTATATCTAGATGGGAACTCAACATCGGATTGCCCTCACCCTTTGTTAACCAAAAATATTTCAAATACAATCCATCACATACTAGAAAATTATGAAGGTGCAACCATATAAGCAAGAGACATCGTCAATGAATGAAGCAAACAAATCTACAAGTTATTAAGGCAAATCAAAGATTCTTCAAAGAAAAATGCTTATCATGCGGAGACACCATACTTGAGAAGCATAATACACTCACTTTCCGGTGCAAAAGAAGAAGACAACAACCGTTGCCCGTGCGCCACCCTCGGCTTCAACGCCCCTCTTATTTCCGCTAGCTGCCATGCACATGCCAATATCAGCAGTACGGTCACTACTCGTATCGCCCACTTCGTTATTTGAGCCATCCTCCGAGCAGCCCTTGAACACTTGAGCTTTTCAAATTTGATTTTTTCCAAGTACTTTAATCCCATCTTATCGAACTCCTTCTCATCAAACTTCGAATCCTTATAACCAGACATCGTCACAGCTATACAAACAATAATGTTTAGATGCAATACATGATTCAACCTATGATGTACTTTGAGTATGATTGTAACTGTCACAAACCAAGTAAATCAAATAATTACTCAAAATATTTGAATTTCCGTTCGTTCTTAAAAAAAAAAAAAGAAAAAGAAACAGTACAATACACGACTCCTGCAAGGACAGGGTCTTAGGTTTATCAAGGAGAAGATGTTAACATAGAAAAAAAAAAAAAGCAAAGAAGAACAAATAGGGTTTCGGAGGGGGGTGATTCGCACCAAAATCTGTAGTAAAATTGTTCCTTTTATAGAAGGAGAGCATTTTTGCGGTTGAGGGTGAAGGAGCCTTCAATTATATGTCAGTAACCTGTCAGCTCCTTGTCAAGCCATGCATGTGGCTGATACAGCTTCTTCCTGTAGTAGTTTTGGTGTTAAGAGAGAGAGAGAGAGAGAACCAGAGAGGTCTAATACACTTCAAACTCCAAGTTGTTTTCAGCAGGATAAAGATGTTCTGATATGATTCAAAGTCTTTTGCTTTCAGTAATAGAGTTTAAATTACCGTAATGTTCATGTTTTTTCGATAATATAATACCCCGATAATAAGCAATTATGCACCGAATTTCTCTATAATTTTATCCTGAAATATTGGTGATATTTGTATCTATCTATCTATCCTATATATTATAAGAATCAACTTAGGAGAGGGAGGGGTGCTCGAAATTTTTTCCCTCTCTAATTTTTATTTTCTCATTATTTTAATTATTTAATTATAATGTATAGATTTCCTTCAATTATTTTCCTCCATTTGGTCTATATAACTATCTCTAACTTTTTGGATAACTAATTAAATTGGGTTTTTTCATTATTTTTATTAACTACTTTACATTTAAATGTCTTTAAAACATCAATTTAGTACATTAATAGACATTTTTTTTATAATATTTGCATGGGGTGGGACTAAGGTTGCTATTGGATAAATATTGTAAATTTTGTGAATCGCACGGAGTGATCGCTAGTATATATATATAAACACACTAAGGAGGATAGGACTTGAGAAGCTTCCCACCCTATTTTCTAATTTTTTTAAAAGAAAATTTAATTTTTTTATTACTAAAAAGAAGGTTCTCTCCAATCACTATTCAACACTTGTCTCTTATAACTACCCTTTCACTCTATTACCAATTGAATTTTTTCAAAAACATTTAGTTTTTATCTCCTACAACTTCTCATATTTTTTTTAACTTTTTCAATTAATTAAAAAGGGTGGGAGAGGGGTGAAGGGTGAAAAACGAGAAATGGAAAAAATGAGAGTATTATAAATTTCATGCATTGTACAAGGACGGTGCTAGTATGCATATGTGCATTACAATGCATAGAATTTGCAATGCCTTTTCACCTGAACACCACCCCTCTCATCCTAACATAGGTCAAAAAAATTACTTATTAGTGAGCTTAATTGATTTTCTAAAAGAAAGTTTTTAATTTGAAGCAGTGAGCAAAGTTTGTTGAAGTGTTTAAATGAATTTTCAAAAAGGTTAAATTTCAATTAATTAGTTAGCAAAAATAGGAGAAGTAGATAAATCCAACATAGTTTTTTATTAAATAGTTCAAAAATATGAGAATTAAAAAAAATAACGGAGAAAGACTTCACACGATCTGTCGTATTATTTACCCAAAAGAAAAATATCTCTCCTCCAATTAGTTGCTTTGATAAAGCGAAACGAATTTATATATATATATATATATATATCTGTGTGTGTGTGTGTGTATAAACATATATGTGAATCTAACTATGTTGAATCTATACCTGCTTTTTAGTTTAATAGAAGCATAACATGTGTGAAGTTTTTTATTTTATTTTATTTTATTTTATTTTTGTATTAATGATTTTATGGTCAACAACTACAAACAAATCAAGACAAAATCAACATTAAGAAAGTATTTTTGGTATAATACCAAAAAATTATTTTTTCTTATATTTTTCAACTTTCTCTCTCTCTCTCTCTCTCTCTCTCTCATGATGTTCCCTACTAATTATCATGTGTGCATAAAAATTATTATATAATAATACTACCAAGACTAAACAATTTGGTGTAATACTTATGATATGACATAAGTCTAAAAATTATATTTGCATTAATATTATTAGACATGTTTCCATCACATTATTATATTTGGGTATTATGACAGATTATGAAGTCTTAATAACATTACTAATATTCTTAATACTTATATTCAAAATAACCTTTTAAAACCAATTTAATACAATTTTCACATGGATTCTGTCTCGCATTTCTATTGATGTATCTGATGCTGTGATCGTAACTAACCTTGCTTTATAGTTGATAATTCTTAACACGGTCACATGTTTTAGCACAAAATCAATCAGAAGTTACTAAATGCGTTGAACAAATTGACCTATATATACGTGATATAAATTCGATTATACTCTAATTATATATGATAAGACCCGAATCTCATTATAACTACTATAAATAAGATCGGAATAGATTGAATTAATTTTAACTAACGAGAAAGTATACATGAAAGAATTTGACATTGATACCACCCATTACCATCCTAGTCTTAATGTAAATTCTTTCTTGGTAGATTAATATTTATTGTTTCGGCCAAAGACATTAATAGGTTGATTATGCAACATTTGACCATTATATTTTCCAATCATGTCAGAAAAAAACCCTGTAATTCAATTTGACAATAAACCCTCTTGAGGATGATAAGGAGGGTTATTGTCCCCAATTTATTATTCTTTTATCAACTCATTTCATTCGTCTTGTTCGAATCTTATCACCATCGCTTAAACGAAAATAAATTATTACAACGACAGAGCAATAGAAATCATTAGTACTAAATCAAGGAATGTCAAAATAAAGTAGTATGCACCCTCATCTCTTAGGTCAAGAGTTCGAAACTCACTAGAGGCATGGGTTGGGTCCGNAGTATTTTTGGTATAATACCAAAAAATTATTTTTTCTTATATTTTTCAACTTTCTCTCTCTCTCTCTCTCTCTCTCTCTCATGATGTTCCCTACTAATTATCATGTGTGCATAAAAATTATTATATAATAATACTACCAAGACTAAACAATTTGGTGTAATACTTATGATATGACATAAGTCTAAAAATTATATTTGCATTAATATTATTAGACATGTTTCCATCACATTATTATATTTGGGTATTATGACAGATTATGAAGTCTTAATAACATTACTAATATTCTTAATACTTATATTCAAAATAACCTTTTAAAACCAATTTAATACAATTTTCACATGGATTCTGTCTCGCATTTCTATTGATGTATCTGATGCTGTGATCGTAACTAACCTTGCTTTATAGTTGATAATTCTTAACACGGTCACATGTTTTAGCACAAAATCAATCAGAAGTTACTAAATGCGTTGAACAAATTGACCTATATATACGTGATATAAATTCGATTATACTCTAATTATATATGATAAGACCCGAATCTCATTATAACTACTATAAATAAGATCGGAATAGATTGAATTAATTTTAACTAACGAGAAAGTATACATGAAAGAATTTGACATTGATACCACCCATTACCATCCTAGTCTTAATGTAAATTCTTTCTTGGTAGATTAATATTTATTGTTTCGGCCAAAGACATTAATAGGTTGATTATGCAACATTTGACCATTATATTTTCCAATCATGTCAGAAAAAAACCCTGTAATTCAATTTGACAATAAACCCTCTTGAGGATGATAAGGAGGGTTATTGTCCCCAATTTATTATTCTTTTATCAACTCATTTCATTCGTCTTGTTCGAATCTTATCACCATCGCTTAAACGAAAATAAATTATTACAACGACAGAGCAATAGAAATCATTAGTACTAAATCAAGGAATGTCAAAATAAAGTAGTATGCACCCTCATCTCTTAGGTCAAGAGTTCGAAACTCACTAGAGGCATGGGTTGGGTCCGGGCCGTCTGGCCTATGACTCGAGTCCGATAGCTATCAGAGGAAAAAAAAAAAAAAAGAAGAATGAAATAAGTGACAAAAGGACTTTCATAAGCATCAATTTTATTTTCCATTTCAAACATGAAAGTTTCATAGGTAGGGTCTACAGTAATCAAGATCTGATATAGATGTCCAAAGCACTTGAAACAGAAAGCTATTTCCTTTTCCAGATATATTTAGGAATGCCATAGTTGTTATCAAATTCTTTCATTGATCACACCTGTTACAGGTTGACAAAAGCATACCACAATAAATGTAAGGTTATGGGTTCCAACTCGAGGATAATCACTTTATGCAAATGAGGAAAATGAATCTACCTACACCTAGTTTACCCCTCCCTATACTCTTTGAGTAACAAAAACCAAACTGGGTAATCAAAAAATAGAGAACAAACGATCATAAAGCTTTCATTTAAGTACTTAATTGGTCAGATAATACTGATTTTGAATGCTTGACAGTGAGCATTTCCATGTTATAGTGACAGGTAACAAGCAGAGATATAATAATGAACCTACTATCCAGATTTTTCTCATTCCCAAATTTATCAATTTCAATGTAGTTCAATCGCCTATTGTTGAATTCATTAGATCCCGGTAGCAGGTTCTTAGGATGTCACCGACATCCATGTTGAAGGTGAGCCCAGTCTCTCGGGTGAAATGTCTGGGGTGACATGCATTCCAAAATATTTCCATCATTTGTTCTCGATGGTGCTCTTAAGTTAAAAGAAGACTTCAGATTGAACATTGAGCAGGGAACTTGCTATTCTGAAAATTGCACATGTATACAAATCAATTTTGCAAGTACACTTGCGTCTTATCATTAACACAGCCACCACAACCATGTAGGTATACTATCATCCCTAGCAACTGGTGCAGTAGGACAAGCAAAAACATGGCAAGAAGCCCAAGGCATATCCATAAATAGAAACAGGAACCACTTAAAATTTGTATACATTGCATCTTTCGGTCAGATGCAGCTAAAAAACTCTGCACGAATGCATTTTCATAATCATTTCCATGCTAACAAGTCTACAACTGTTATGTGTCCCATTGCACGAGACTTGGATATTACCCCGATTGGCACCGCCTTAATCTCTGAAGGACAGCACCTTAAGCCTGCGATTCTATTGGTGACTTCTGCAACTCTGTACATGGTAAAACAAAATCAGCAATCTAGGATTTAAATCCATTAACCATCTTCAGAAGAAAGCAAAAACACCAAATACCTAGATTCAGTCTCACAAGTACCTGGTGCAGAAACCACTACTCTGCTATGGGTAGCCTTCACAAATAGTGTGGAGGAGACAAGGGAAGCTTCTATCATTACAGGGTCAGATAATGGTCACGCCAACAAACAAGCAAGTTTCTTAATTCCACTCTAATAATTGTCATAGAATCTTGTCAACAATCCCCATGGCCTTCAATAGGAAAGCATATTCATAAGATGTTTCCTCACATTGACCAAAACGGCCACCTTCACCAAAATGTCCTCCCCTCATATTTGTCTTCAGGATGGCCACACAAGAACAACTTGAACACATATTATCTCTTACTTTGGCCACCCATTTGGCAGCTTCCCAAACTCCAACTCTGAGAATTATTAACAAATACTATGGTTATAAAGATATATATACAATTTCCCAATATATGGATGTGGACCTATGCTGTTGTGCATAGGTATTTGGAAGCAGATGTTTTTTCAAAGCATGCATATGCGGATGCATGCATGACCAGAATTATGGACAAAGGAAGGTGTGAGATAGGAATTTGCCTGGAGTCATTGAAGGATGCCATCACAAGCATTGACGGATAGCAAACGCCTCGAGAAATATTATCATAAGGAGAATATTTCAAGATAGAGTCAAACTGGGACTGTATCTGAGGATTCCCAAATTCTTCATAGTCCAATACAGTGAGTGGCAAACTAGGATCCAACAATGTATTGCAAATGTCAAGGAATGGAACCTGCCACAAATATCACGCATGCATTATTCCCAAAGAAATTTGTTTGCTAAAGTTGAAATAGAAGAAAAAAAGAGAATAATAATCTAAACAATGTGCTAATAGTGAAAAAGATGAAGAGATGTTGTGCATGGCCATGGCAGAGGTTCCAAGGGTAAAGTAGACAGAAGGATCTTTACCATACTGATTGCATTAGTTATTGCATTGCAGTCAAAACGATATATGCCCAGTGGCAAAAATCATTCAATTTCTACTAGTTAAGTTTGACTAGTGGCAAAAATCTTATCTACTTAACAAGCACCCATTCCCTCATTTATTTGTTTCCTTTTACTGTCTTGTAGCAGAGTAGGTATCAATACAGAAGGAGAATGAACCTTTGCTTGCCGAAAATGTGAGAGCAAGTAAACATTCCACTTTTCTTTATCAGGTCATCTTCGTAAACAGACAAAGCATAAAGATGCACAGTGTAATTGCCAATAAATACCAGTTTAATCCACTTCACATACCAGTCCGATAAAGAAATGGCGAATATTTATTTTTCAATAGTGCTTACCTTCAAAATTGCTGCCCGAAACAATTCTGGATGCTTATTGATGGCTGCACCCAATAGCAGACCTCCTGCACTATACCCAACAGCACCAAGTTGACATTTATGAACATACCCCCCATTAACCAGGTACTCGCCACAAGAGACGAAATCATATATAGAGTTCAATTTGTACAATCCACTGCCAGATCTATGCCAAGAAGGATCAACACCACCACCCCCCCTAGCAGAAAAACATTGTAAGCCAACTAACAGTATCATTATCACTAGTAATGAGATGCATTTAGCTTTTCAGACTATGTAATTTAGGCATAGGATTGTAATAATATGTTTATATCACAATGATGCTTAGGTAGAAGCTCCACAAGAATTGGTCTAGATCAAGTCATATCATGCCTTTCTCAAACAAAAGAGAGTCAAACCTGACTCTATTATTTCTATAATAGGTCTCCATGTGACATTCAAATTGTGTGGGGCACTTCACACGTCTCAGCCTTGCATTTTGCTTTGTCTCGGACAATACAAACAGTTGAATCACAAGCCAGTAGGGTATTTGCAGTACAAAAAACCAGTTGGTTTTATTTATTTCCCCCCAATTACTGGATTACCTAATGGGGGTAACCCTCTCCCTGCACATACCCCCATCCCCAAAAAGGAAACGTAAAACCAAAACAAAAGAAAAAAATCTGATACGAGGAACAGCACTAGCTATGCTACCTAGAACCTTCAAAAGCCAGGCTTCATTGGCCATCCCTTGTCCACACAATTCAACATGCAGATCTATTTGCATGTTTGGCGTAGGCTTTCTAATCAACACAATCCCAATTCTTTCCACGCTTGTAACCACCTGTACAGACAGATGAGTCACTGACCACAAGGCCAGCAGAGGTTTCTAAACATGAAGCCCAATTTTCCATCTTTCGAAAGCAGTCATATATCGATGTACTAAAAATATAAGCACATTTTGCTTGTTTCCACTAATTTGTCTTTTACACCATTTCAGGGGAAAGAAATCTAAAATGACAGAGGCAAAAATGTATATATTTTTTCTTTAGGAGGATTACCAAGATTTTCCTTTCCTCCCACCTCCCCCCATTGGCTGCATAAAGAGCAGCTTTGGAGAATTTTCTAATTAGCTAAAATAAGACTATTTTGATACATACCTCACATCAGCAAATGCAAACACCCAACCACGATCAAGTAAGCTCAGACGATCTGCACACCAGCTCTTATCTAGAAATTCACCATATGCTCCATAGCCATGTAGAAGCCCTGGAGATTGACCCTTCTGATGTGCTTTCCGAGAGTACAAGATGGTCAAAGGAATCCTGACACCATCATGAGAAATGACTTCCTTTCTTTCACAACAATATGCATCAGTAAATTCCCTCCATCCCTGCATTTCATCATTCTGAACTTCTTTGCCATTGTAAATTTGGGCGTCTAGAAACTCGGTCGTGTCTCTCTGATAAGTCAGTGAGCGAAATTCCGTACTGGTGGAAATATTTTGGACTTCCTCTTGGTGCACAATGGAGAACATATTTCTCGACATATCATAGTCCACAATTAAATCAGGCATCTGCACTTTGGAAAGGAAAAAAATTAAGTGATTCTAGAGTCAACACTCAAGTACAATTCAAGTCACTATATTGTGTTGCTCAACAAAATGCACACTGAATTTTAGTCATAAGAATCCAATATCATTGTGGACTCAGCAATTGTGGTGAATTTAGCAGTGAATATTGCAGCAGTTTCCTAAAATAAACATACAATTTTCTTAAGAAGCCACATATTATGCCCAAATAAAATTTCAACTGATAAATATGTCACCATGGATAACATGTCACATGAATCAAGGTTCTGAACCTTAAAAACCGGCACAGATCAAAACAGAAAATGTTATATCATTACAGTAACCGAAAACCCTTTCAAAAGACCAATTTTGAAGTTCAAACATGAATTTTAAATAGTTCTGGCCAGAATATGGGTAACACATTTGAATAATGGATTAATAGCTGTTATGTATATGCAGTGTCGTAATCAAAAAAACACTAATATTTTACACACTCAAATACGGTGGGCAAGATTGTTTTTCGTAACTATGGGGATGTTGGGGAGAGAAAAAGAGAGCAAAGAAGACTTTCAAAGCTACAATGCACTCAACAATTCTGAATCCACAATTAGGCTCATTAGAAGCAATACCACTGGAGATGAAATGACTGCACGGAATACTGAGGTCATGAAGTCATGATTTGAACCTGGAACAATGCTGCATAAATTTGAGGGCAGAGGGAAGAACCATGGATTAAGATCTTCAATCGTCACCTGGTTCTGCAGAAAAAAAGAAAGAAAGAAAGAAAAATCAGCAAAAAGGAATGAACACCCAAGTAACCTAACTGGTAAAATTCTCGAAGATGAGCCTCAGACCTGAATCAACTCCTCCCTTCATTCATATATGCAAGTGGTTAGTGGTTCTTAGGGGAATGTGAAGCTTCATGGTCGGGGGCATGGCTAACACCATTATCTAGCCCAGTACTCTTGGACTACTCATTTCCCCCCAACCCCAAACCACATAAAAAAGAAACAAAAAAGGGGGGAACACCCGCACATAAGAAACCTTAAATGTTAAAACAAATCAATTGCATCTCACCAGTATCATATTTTGTGCATCAATTTTTTAAAGCAAGGGATTGGAGATATGAACCAGCACTTGCAAGAGAAATTTTTCAAGAGGCACGCAATTACATGTGCGCCATATATATATGCTGCTTCATAGCAGCTAGATCTTAACAAGCTGTTACATAGCTGACTTACAATTTTGATTGGAGCAGTTGCAATTTCAGTAGTTTTTCTAGAGTCCAGGCTAGTGATTATTAGACGATCAAGTCAAGGATGTCCTGGCCCCAAAAATATTATATCAGCAGCACAAATACTACAAAATTTTAAGCAACTTTTTCCCTTGCTTCTTCTTTTAACAAACACTCAGATTCCTCAGTAAATACTTCTTAATATATAAAGAACATGAGAAATCACCAGCATCTTCTGGCATCTATGCAAGTGATTAACCAAGCATCCCATTCTCTCCCCANCCGTACTGGTGGAAATATTTTGGACTTCCTCTTGGTGCACAATGGAGAACATATTTCTCGACATATCATAGTCCACAATTAAATCAGGCATCTGCACTTTGGAAAGGAAAAAAATTAAGTGATTCTAGAGTCAACACTCAAGTACAATTCAAGTCACTATATTGTGTTGCTCAACAAAATGCACACTGAATTTTAGTCATAAGAATCCAATATCATTGTGGACTCAGCAATTGTGGTGAATTTAGCAGTGAATATTGCAGCAGTTTCCTAAAATAAACATACAATTTTCTTAAGAAGCCACATATTATGCCCAAATAAAATTTCAACTGATAAATATGTCACCATGGATAACATGTCACATGAATCAAGGTTCTGAACCTTAAAAACCGGCACAGATCAAAACAGAAAATGTTATATCATTACAGTAACCGAAAACCCTTTCAAAAGACCAATTTTGAAGTTCAAACATGAATTTTAAATAGTTCTGGCCAGAATATGGGTAACACATTTGAATAATGGATTAATAGCTGTTATGTATATGCAGTGTCGTAATCAAAAAAACACTAATATTTTACACACTCAAATACGGTGGGCAAGATTGTTTTTCGTAACTATGGGGATGTTGGGGAGAGAAAAAGAGAGCAAAGAAGACTTTCAAAGCTACAATGCACTCAACAATTCTGAATCCACAATTAGGCTCATTAGAAGCAATACCACTGGAGATGAAATGACTGCACGGAATACTGAGGTCATGAAGTCATGATTTGAACCTGGAACAATGCTGCATAAATTTGAGGGCAGAGGGAAGAACCATGGATTAAGATCTTCAATCGTCACCTGGTTCTGCAGAAAAAAAGAAAGAAAGAAAGAAAAATCAGCAAAAAGGAATGAACACCCAAGTAACCTAACTGGTAAAATTCTCGAAGATGAGCCTCAGACCTGAATCAACTCCTCCCTTCATTCATATATGCAAGTGGTTAGTGGTTCTTAGGGGAATGTGAAGCTTCATGGTCGGGGGCATGGCTAACACCATTATCTAGCCCAGTACTCTTGGACTACTCATTTCCCCCCAACCCCAAACCACATAAAAAAGAAACAAAAAAGGGGGGAACACCCGCACATAAGAAACCTTAAATGTTAAAACAAATCAATTGCATCTCACCAGTATCATATTTTGTGCATCAATTTTTTAAAGCAAGGGATTGGAGATATGAACCAGCACTTGCAAGAGAAATTTTTCAAGAGGCACGCAATTACATGTGCGCCATATATATATGCTGCTTCATAGCAGCTAGATCTTAACAAGCTGTTACATAGCTGACTTACAATTTTGATTGGAGCAGTTGCAATTTCAGTAGTTTTTCTAGAGTCCAGGCTAGTGATTATTAGACGATCAAGTCAAGGATGTCCTGGCCCCAAAAATATTATATCAGCAGCACAAATACTACAAAATTTTAAGCAACTTTTTCCCTTGCTTCTTCTTTTAACAAACACTCAGATTCCTCAGTAAATACTTCTTAATATATAAAGAACATGAGAAATCACCAGCATCTTCTGGCATCTATGCAAGTGATTAACCAAGCATCCCATTCTCTCCCCAGTCCCCACCAAAAATTCACCTCTTTCTTATAATTTTTTTTTTAAAAAAAAAAAAAAGAACAGTTGTGATCACAATGTCGTGACAATAGCTTTATGAATTTCAATCCAAACAACGTGAAATCAATCATATCTTTCCTTGTAGTGTTTTTCACCGATGTATAGTTCATACAGATATAAAGAAGAGATTGTACCTCACAATTGGCATCAATAGGCATCTTGATAGAACATATAACAGGGGAACCCTTTTTATTCAGGGAAAGCACCAGATGTTCATTAAAAATGTCCATATCTTGTACGATGATGTCTTTACTTGGCATGAGCACATTCTGATACGAAAGAGTAAGCAATACAGAAAGTTATACTTTGCCAAAATGTAGAGTAGGAGATGGACAGAAGACAAAAAGATTTAATTATATTTACATGATGGACAACAAATAATAAATTCCAGGTGTCAGTTTATAATTCACAGAAGAAAACAAAAATCACCTGCAAATTAGTTGCCTGCATGTCATCAACTCGGCATCTGGCCAAGTAAAAATTTCCGCTATCAGGTAGGTCCTTATCCTCGCTCAGAGAAGCATTTGTAAGAATATAGAAAAAGCCATTATGATGTTCCAAAAAGCACTGTACACCAGAAACACGCTTACAAACCCTTTGCAAACCCTGTTGTGGATTGGTCGCTTTTATGACATAAACCTGTAAGAAACCAGCAAGATGTAAAACAAACCATAAAAGGATGTTCTAATATCAATAGCATGAAGAGGGATAAAATAGGAAAGTTCCTTCCTCGGATGACGTCCTCGAGATAGAATTCACAGTTATAAACTTGCCATCTTTTGTGCTTGTGATGTCCACATGGAAGCTGGAATCATTTTCTGTATATATTGGAACATCTGCAACAGAATCTGATCCAAGTTTTGTGCATAGTACCCTGGCCAACAAAAGTGCAGGTAAGAATATATCCAGACTACCAAGTCAAAGGCTCTATAATATAGCAAGAGAAATTGCCTGTAAGGCCGTTGATTCTCATCAGACATTGTATAGAACAACGTACAACTGTCTTGAGCCCATGCCAAGCTAACAACCCTGCCAACTCCTAATTTCGGAAGAGCACATCCACTTCGCAGGTCCTTAATTTGAAGTGTGAACTGTTCACCACCAGTTGTGTCGACGGTGTATGCAAGGTAGTTATGGTCTGGAGATACTCGACACGTGCCCACATGAACATAACCTACAAAATTTTACAAATTAACAAATCTTAATGCAGCTTATAATTTCTAACTTCAAAATCAAGATGAATGTCAAATATTTGCCAATACATGCAAGCCGTACAAGTATTAAAAAGGATCCAATGAATGGAAGTCTGAGACTCAGACATAGTGTTGGGGGTAAACACAGATATATTTGGCAACTAAGCACTTGTTGTCCTCCAACATTTCCGAATGTGTGTCTATCTTCCACTGGACACAAAACATATGTAATCAACACTAAGACATGCCCTATCTAGACCTCTCAAATTTAAAATTTCCTTGGCGTTTCACCATATTTTGTTGGAGAGCCCATGTGAAAACACAATTTGTCATGTCCGGCTCAACATGGACACATAATCCGTCATGTCTGGCCCAACAAGGGTACTCAAACATCTGAAGAACCCATGGCCATACTATAAGTGATAAGCCAATAGATGAAAATCATAATACTCAACCAACACAATTAATAGCAACAATACAACTTATGTCATTCATGCATAACAACTTAGATTGCCAAATAATCTATCAAAACCCATAAAAAGAAGATTATAAATCTTTTCATGTAAGAAGCTAAGAAAGAAACACACCATATCGTTCTGCAATTTCATTCCAATCAAGCAAAACTTCCTCCCTTCCAAATCCTCCTCTAACATAATTGACTATAGCATGCACCCAACCTTTTCTCTTGGCGGCTAATTTCCTACATAAAACTGGATACTCCTTCCCATCCGGAATATACTGGTAGTACGACCTGTTCAATCTCAAAAACAAATATCCAATCATAATCAAACTAGAAATACACTACATAGTTGTCAATTCTAGACATACCCTGAAATTCATACACAAAAGATACATAACTAGGACTACGGGCACATCAACGAATACATACACATCCACACATGTTTAGTCACTAACTAAACTAGAAAGCGTACAATACCATTGTGCTGAGATTTCAACTCAATAAGCTAATTACTCACACTACACTACATAAAAAAAATTCAAATCAACTGTTCATTAATTTCTACTACAAGACGGAGAAGATCACTAAAGAGCATAGTCATCCTCCTTATAAAGAAACATACAACATTGAAAAATTCAAGAAACCATTGATACAATCACTAACTAACAAATGCACACACATTAAAACATTAATACCCATATACATTTAAGGGGGTGAGGGTGTGTGTGTGAAATGGTTGTTGAAAGAAATGAACACACCAGGGTCCCCAACGTTCAGGCGGGGTAGAAATCTTGAAGGGCATTTTACTTATCATCTCAGAATACAAAGTCTGTTGAACTTTCTGGGTGTCATCCATGAAAGCTTCAGCATATAAGTTTTCTTGTTTGATATAGTCAATGAAATCAGGGTCGTTGATGTTGGACATCCAGTGGTACGGGTCTTGCCATGTCATTCCATGAGCAGAGACTGTGAAAGGCACTTTCTTTGGGACTGGTGGAGACTGGGTTTTGGAAAGTGTTGAAAAGGGCTGGTGATTTTTGCTGGGCGAAGAGAAGGGAGAAGAGGATATGGTAGGGGATAAGCGTAGAATGGAGGATAAATGGGTCCTTTTTATGGACTTTCGGGTTATGGAGAGGATCGCCAAAGCAGCCATGGAGGCTGTGAAGGTCGTGGAGGAGTTTGAGAATGGCGGCTACCTCTCTGTAATTTTGGGGGTGTCAGCACCGTGGGTAGGCTTTTTTGTAGTTACTGTTAATGGTTCTTCAAAGGATATTTTCAATTCGGCTTTTTTTTTTTTTTTTTTTTTTTTTTTGTGGGTTAATTGTAAGTTGCATTGTCGAATCTTAATTTAGACTCTCAAAAATTAAAAATTTTAATTTATCCGCTCAAAAATAAAAATTTATATCAATATATATTCTCAAAAATTAAAAATTTTAATTTATACCCTCAAAGATAAAAATTTGTATCTATGTGTACCCCAAAGATAAAAAATCTCAATTTACACCCTCAAAAATAAAATTTTGTACACCTAAAACTAAATTAATAAATTATACATAGATTCACTCATGTTTGTCACTTAATCATTTGGACCTCTTTACATTTAAAATATTATTCCTACATCTCATGACGTTTGTGCACGTGTAACAAGTAATCCCTTTTCATTGATGTATGTTAATATAACTGTTAAAAATATGATTTTATCCTAATAAAAATTATAATTTCATATTACATTTTATTTTGTAAATCCGATATATTCTAAAGTTTAATATCAAACTTACCATTTTAATGTCCAATAGAATATAGATATTTATATAATATTTTTTATATCCAATGCAATATATCACTCAGTGTGCAACCATTTATTCTATTAGACATTCAAATGGTAAGCTTGATTTTGAACTTTAGAGTATATTAGACCATAAAATAAAGGGTAATATAAAATTATAATTTTTTATTAAAATAAAATCATATTTTTTAACAGTTATATTAACAGATATCAACAAAAAGAAGTTACGTGTTAAACGTGCACAAACGTCATGAGATGTAGGAATAATATTTTAAATATAAAAAGGTTCAAATGATTAAGTGACAAGCATAAGGGGATCCAGGTATAATTTATTTATTTAGTTTTAAGTGCACATTGATACAAATTTTTATTTTTGAGAGTATAAATTGAGATTTTTGATATTTGAGAGTGCAAATTAAAATTCAAACAAACTTTCGGGGTGCAATTCATAATTAACTTTTTGTTTTTTTTTGGGATGAAGACAAATTTTAATTTTTTTGTGAGACATTATTATCGTAAAAGAAGACGAGAATATTCAAAGTCATGATATTGTCATTAACGACAATAATTATTAAGTTAACTATTAACTTCAAAATTTTCAACTCGAAGAAACGCAAAAAATCTATACGGAATCATTTTAGTATTTGGCGCATTAGTTGACAAATATGCTTATTTACATAATTACTTCTTCTATTTCTTAGTTTCAATAAAATTATTAAATGAAAAATATTTTCAATTTTATCCCTCAATATTCATCATGGCTTCCTGCTATAAAAGCACGAATACAAATACGAAATACGGATACGATATCATACAGGTACAAAAATACGGTAAAACTAAAAAAAATAGGATACGAGTATGACTAGGATACATCCATAAAATATATATTTTTTAAAATTTTATTATTATATTTAATGTAATAATTATGATTTATAAAGTAAATCACACTTCTATCAAAGATATATAATAATAACTAACCATTAGAGTCAGTCGATCGTCAGTGTAAATGAGTGAGAGAGAGACGATCGTCGTCGAATATCGACTGAAGGGAGTGGGGGGCTTGACGGGCCGTGGAGGAAAAGTGTACAGGTTTTAGTCTTTTAGACTTTTAGTTTAATAATATATATATATTTTTAAATAAGGGCCTAAATATATTGCACTTGTGCCCCTATACTTTTTTAAAATTCGAGTAATACCACGCCGTATTCTTATGCGTATCCCACGCGTATCCAAAACGTATTCGGTCGTATCCGAAAACCAATTTTTTTTTTTAATTTTAGGATATTTCTCCGACGTATCCAGTACATATTCGACGCGTATCCGTATCCAAAAGTATCCGATACAGATACTTTGACCCTTTTGAAGTGTCTGTGCTTTGGAGGCTTCCTGTGACCCAATCACACCCAAAACAGGGCTTTGCTTCCAATAAAATTGACCATCGCAATCTAAATAGTCTTCCAATCTGAGTAAAATTCAAACCATGCTTCAACAATTTCCACTATAGATTCTATTAATTTGGTAGATTTGAGCCGAGATTTATATCTAGAATTTTTTATCTCCGTAACGGTGATCCAATGCATGCACCTATTGAAATGACTTCCAATAAACATCGATTTTTTTTTAGCTTAGTAACATTTAATTTGATCAGGAAAACCTCAAATTCCCCAACTTGTCCTCAATCAAAAAAGTTCAGCTAGATCAATTGTATACATTCTGGCCAAGGTTGCACCAATCCTACCTTTTTCACTCAAAGGCCCATTTTCTCCCTTTTCCTTTTTGGTATCCTTAAGCTATCCCCATAATGAGCTTAAACCCTTTGACTCGTTGCCAATGACAGACTAATCTGGCTCAGTTGACCCAAGGGCGGATCTACTAGTGAGTTAAGGTGGGCTGAAGCCCAGAGGAAAAAAAATAAAAATTACCACTAAGTACCAGCTCACCCCCTAAAAATAATTACCACTATATTTTCCTCCCAAATTAACCTAACCCAACTCATCCAACCTAACCCAGCAGCTCCCTGCAACACACAGTGGTTCCCCAATGACTCCCTACAACACACAAGCAGTCCTCTCTCTTCTCTCTCAAGCAATCACTTTTCCAAATTTTCGGACAAGCAACGGCTCCATGGCAACACAAAGGCGGCGAGTCACTTCCCCAAATCCCCGTACAGGCACAACTATCCCTCTTCTGCGCAAACACCTCCTCTCTCTCTTCAACGCATCAGATCCCTCTTTTGCTCAATGCATCAGATCCCTCTTCCCTCCAACGACTGTTTCCTCCAGCAAATTTATTTCCTCCAACGACTGTTTCCTCGGTGCAAGGTAAGTTTTTCACATTTAATGTGAGGATTTATCGAGTTTATTTTATTTATTAGGCATTAATTTATGTTTACGTTATACTCTATTGCTTTACATGATTGGTTGTTAACTATTGTTTGGAGCTCCTAATTAGGGCTGTTAATCAATTAAATCCTCTATGATTTACCTTTCCATTTTCTAGTGGTCAATTGTTTGGACATGGATTTTGTTTAATTATGCAGTTCATTGCTCATAAAGCACAGGAAAAATTCAATCAAGCTTATTTTTATTTATTTATTTTTTTGTGTTTGGAATCAGTGAAATGGAACTTTACGTTTTTTAGTTTTCAAGTTATGATATGTTTAAGATTCCAAATTCCATTAATTATATTTTGCTACAATTTTTTTTCCCTGATCAACCAAAAGAAGCACAAGCTTTGAGTAATTGAAAATCAATGCGTGTACTTTTATGGCTTTGTTTTAGTTTTTACATTTTTTGGATTACCATAGACTTTTATGGCTTAGTGAATTGATGATCAAAACATTTGAAATGTCTAAAAAAATACACTTTGTTCCCACATTTTTTATACCCTTATTTGTCTTTCTGCATATTTACTTTGGATATTGGAGACCTACGCTGATTTTAATAGACAAGACATGAATCATTTAAAATGTCAACTGAATTATTATCAATTTGATATGGTTCGTCATGAGAGGTTTTAAAGTATGTCTATAATTTCAAAATTATGTCGTGGTTTAGTAGAAACAAATAAGGTAAAGTCCTACAATTTGATTGATAGGTGGATTCGTCTTATTTTAACTCGTCTCGTTTCTACGACAACTTTAGAAAAAACATTTTCAACCATAAAACATGTCAAAAGTACTCTTCGTAACAAGATGGAAGATGAGTATTTGACTGATTCGTTAGTTGTCTAGATTGAAAGAGAAATAACAGAAACAATCGATACAGATTCAATAATAGATGTCTTTTGTTCTAAAAAAGATCGAAGAGTCCAATTTCATTAGTAAGTGTTTATGAGTTTATATTTTGTATTATTAAATATATGTTTATGAGTTTAGATTTGTATTTTGTTAATTGTATGAATGCTTAGCTTAACCCAGGATAAAAAATCCTAGCTCCGCCCTTGAGTTGACCCATGTCTCTTCTTCATGCTAGTGTGATATTAAAAGGTCCTCCATACTCCATCTGCATATATAGTCTTGTGTTTCAAGGCTTTTACAATAAAGACACATATAAAAGTCCTATAGTTTGATAAAACTCATAGAGGTTGCAATTGTAACAATCAATTAAACTGTACAATGGCAAATATTCGACTAATGTGCAAGAGAGTCTATTATTGCTAAAGATACTAATAATTGAATGAACATGAATGACCTACACCAAACGACCAGTACCCACTATCTCAAACCTCACACAAGGCAACCATCTAACCCTGAGATATTAAACAATTACACAAACTTCAGCGTTTCCCCTTGACCTCTTCGATTAGCAATCTTCATCCTCAACTACTTCTCATCTTCTTCGACTTCCTGCAAGTGCATGGGAATGTTTTAATCATCTCAAATATATACCATAACAAATTGTAACCAGTGAAGACATATTGCATCCAATGATTTGCCAAAATAAAGAATGCTGCACACTACAATTGGGCAGTGCTAAGAAAACAGTGGAAAGAATTGAACTCGAGACTACGTATTCTTACCAATTTGTCAATCTTGTCAAAATCATCATCAAAAGCCTCATCGTCCACATCTGAAAAACCAGAATTTGCATTAGCACAATAAGGGTCGAGGGAGCGAATTCCAGTACAAAGTTGCAACAGAAAGAAAGAAAAAGGTGGCGAGTCCAGGTAATCAGCTTTTATCAATTGCTCAAACCCATAAAACTAAAAGGAAACTTGAGTACTAGACTGCACACTTAAACACGCTTCCACACCGCTTCCCACAATCACACTACTGTCCCTTCACACATCACTCGAAATCTTCACTAACAATGTGCACAAATAATCCATAAACCTCATCCAAAAACTTCACCTATCAGCATGTCACAAGGTAACTTTCGTTTTTCTTTTGAGGCTACCTGTGAAGGCGTTGCTATTACAACCAGTCATACTCAACTCAAGAATAAGGGACAGAAACTCACACAGAAGGCACACACGAATCTACTGGGACAACACTTCCAAACCTTATATATTAAACTCAACAATTTACAAGGACTCTCAAAAGCCAGAACACTCTCCTTCCTCCAGAATGCTCAAGCACCTCTATTTATATAAGAGGAAGGCAGATGACACCCCCATCTGCCAAGGGGTAGTTACCCACGTTTTTGCTATTCCATAGCATATTGGACTAGTAGACTTGGTCTCTGTGCAACACCTGGCAGGCAGTTCCACCACTTCAAGTAACTGTTGTGGAACTGCCCCTTTATCAGCATGCATCTAGACTGGATTCAGACTGGAGACATCCAGAACTGCCTCAGCAACTGCCTTGATTGAGTCTCAACATCATAACTGCCCACATTCTCCTGGTCATATGCATTGAGCAGCCATGTGCCAATCAGGTGCCCACATTCAGCAATCATGTGCCCACATTCACCAGTCAAACTTGTTACTCGAACCAATGTGCATGCTGGGTTCAACCCATGCCATGCAATCCGAAGCTCTGCACCCACATTGCTTCAATTGAGCCCACCCATGCTGCCATACTCAACCGGGTGGTCTCATGCTGCCTTAGTTCGCCCCAATCTGTCGAACCACTTAGCCGCGTCACCTTGATTCCAATTTCTGGTATGCCTTGGTGCAAGGTGCCACCAAGACCGGCCATTTGCACCCAAGTCAATTAGGGTGTGACACAGCAATACTTTGGATAGCCATCACCCAAATGAGCCAAGAGTTAAATAAGCTATTTTGATAATGCCCACTTCATATTCAATTAGTACGTACAACAAATATGAACTAATAAACTTCCATTGGGCAAACCATAAACTTCCTCTACCATAACCCATATTACAATGGATCATCCACAAAATTCAGATATAGTAGAAGTAAGGTGAAGGTTTGTCTCAGAGGTTGTTATCATCTATACCCAGATATGAATAAAATTTGATATAGTAGTATGATTCTATTGTCTTAGTTAATTTCCTTTTTATGGTGACCACTCACTAATTGTGGTCACAATTATAAGTATAAATTGAGCCGACTTGTTAATGTCAATGACACTCAAAGTTCTAAAAAAAATAAGTCATCAACAAAAAAATAAGTCATCAACAAACGCAAGGCAAAGACAAGATCTGAACACCAAATACCCATACATTGTTGTGTTGATAGGCAAGTAAGCATAATAGCATAGTCATATGTTGAGTAAACAATGTACCTGGACTCCCATCACTATCATCAAGATCTCCCAAAAGAAATATATCCAAGTCCTGCGCTGCTGATGATGATGTTGAGGTCTTACTTTGCAGTTTTGTTCTCACTGCTTCTGATTTATTAGTCTCTCCTGCCAGCTGAGTTTGCTTGTCTTTATAGTCTATCATTCGCTCTGCTTCTTTCTGTTTAACCTCCTCCATGTACTTCTTTTCATACCTGACCATAACCAGGGAAAAAGTGAATATAGAACAACCGTAATGTAGTAATTTGCAAGATGCTTAATCCATTAGAGTGACCTTTTCTCAACAGAGTTTTTTTATTATTGTTGCGATTAGATACGTGGCATTATAAGGATAATGTAAGGATAGCTGAATATTAGTAAATGTGAAACAGGGTAAGAAAAGGGTGTTGACCAGGCAGAATTTGACCTTAACAGACCAGGTCCCAAATATTAAATAAATTTTCAACTTAATCCTTCAGCTAATTGGTGCACATGTAGCATTTCTAAATATGACACAAAGTAATCTTGAATCTTGCTAATAATTAACTACCTTTCACACTCCCTGAAAAAACCAGTTTGTTTAAATCACCAGTAGACTCAACAAAGCAATGACATTTTCCAATTCTAAAGTTCTGCAGACAAATCAATTGCAAACTTTATTAAAAAAATGATATCTATTTCTATGAGATTACCACAAAATAGACAATATGGCTGGTAAATGTATTTGCTAGTCAATTTGCAGTTCTTTGTATGTGAGTTCACATTAGAGTGTACCATGTTCCTTAGTTAACTAACTAAATTTTAAGCCTACCATTCTGTTTTAGAAGAGAAATGCAGTCTTCCTACTTTATGTGCAACCTTTTCTCCTTCTGTTTACTTCCTTCTTCTCCATTTATTCATTTACCAGTAGTAAATAGCAAAGCCTTACAGACATTTATGTTAAAAAAACAAACATCTTTTGGTTTCTATGAAGGAATCTCCACCTTCTCAAGAAAAAGAAGTCATTTATATGTTAAAAAAACAACATACTAGAAGTGTAAGAAATATTTAACAGTCTAACTGACACTAAGAATTTTGTGAATGTTGTGCTATATTGACCAAAATAAACTTTGGCAGTAGTTCACTGTTTTATTATCCCCTTATCACATGAGATATCTAAGAACTTTAATCCACATTCAACATCTGCAAATAATAAAAATACCAGTAAAGATTCTAAAGAATCTATAAAAATAAAGTTACTTACAAAGCCACATGACTGCTCACAAGTGTGAAATAAATCCTCCAGAATATCCTATCTTTCATGTGGCGGGGGCATAATTCATATCTTAACCTTGAAATTTCCTAGAACAATATAATCATTGAAAAAGATGAATAATTAGTCCAATATTTCTATGAATAACTTAAAATAAAAGTATATTCCTCTTTTCCTTGCACATTTGTATGCGTCCAGCGAAAGGCATGCTCAAGACACATCGCACCACATAAGTCCACGAAGTAGCATCCACCATCTTAGGATTCTTGACCTTGACCACGGCTCCAGACACATGTTCAATGCATAATAAGTCAGCTTAGTTACTTCATACATCACGATTCTTTGAACTTTCACTTGCCAAGCAAACCCATCACTTATAAAGGCAGAAAAAAATAATAGGGCTCCTCCTTGCTTCCCATAGGCAACCACCCCTTAGCAACCATGAATATAATAGGACTATTCAGACTTCACTAATTCAGTGCACATGCATGATCTTCCGAGTGCTTTAAGACAGATTTCGATTAAACAATTCCCTAAGACTAGTAGAAACCCACAAATACATAAAAAAAAAAAGGGATTACCTTGACAGTAGTGAGAACCAGAACGGCATGTTTCTGCTGCCACTCTGTGAGATCTTGCCGGACGTTTAAGACCGTAGGCACATCAGTCGTCGGTGAATCATCTACACGCAGAGAATAAGTTTAATACGCTCCCCGAACATTAACAATGGACAATAAGCAGGAATGTGAATGCTTTTCATGTTTTACCACGGTAATTCGTAGAATCATAACAAATTGAAAGCAATAATCATGAAGATATAGACCGAATTGCGCACCTTGAATAGAAAAACTTTCGAACGTAGTTACGGAGAATCCTCTGGCGAACTGTCTTAGATCATCAGTAATGCCGAACGTCTCGAGCTCCGACTCCGATGGCGAATTAGAGTTATCACCGAGTGATATAGAAGGAATTTGATCGGCCACGGACTTCAAGTGCTGATCAGCTTGCCGGAGAGCGACAGTCTTAAACTCGTCGGCTTTCTTCGAGGCCTCGACGGCAAACTCCTTGGATTTCTTCGCGGTTTCGGAGACAATGTCGGCGATCTTGGCCGATGAAATTGTTAGGGTTTCGGATCTTCTCGCTGCTTCCTCGGCTAAGAAAGTCTTCGTCTTAAGCCATATAGAGTCCATCGCTGTGAAACTGCGTGATCTCTCAGATTATTTGCTTCTTTATAGTGAAACGAAGTGGAGTACCAGTTTATGGTGGACTCTTGCTCCCGTTCGACTCGTTGGATTCGACTCGGAAGATGAATCGACCGATCGAACTCAATTGAGCAAGCCCATACCTGCCTCACACTCGTGTCAGGCCGTACCGAGTTAAAAATTATTCAACCCGTATACGGTTCTTTTATTAAACATATTTATTTAAATGAATGTATATTATAAAATTAAATATAATTTATTTATTAAGTTCGTCGCACAATACGATCTATGTTACACACTAATTTTACGGCACAAAAAATTATTAATTAAAAAACTTAATTTTATAACAAATTAGGTCACCTATTAAACAAGTAATCATATGATAAACGAGTAATCGAATAACAAACGAATAATCGTGTGGTGAACAAATAATCGAGTGATAAAAGAGTTAAAGTAGTATACTCAAACATGACTTTTTTTGTTATGAGGATTAGGTGGGTCCATCCATTTACTCTCCCGAACTTGTTAAGATCACATTTAAATCGGCTAAATTCGTGTGGATTTACATCAAATTACTCGATCGTGTTGAATTTTAAGAGGCTTACCTCCATCTCCCCAAATAGCCCAAACATTAATATTTACTTGTATACGATGGAACCCACCCTATATTCAATTGTGTCAAAACTTATACATGTGTCCATATCAATAGCAACACGTGGAATACAATTGATTAAGAACTCTATTCAATTTCTTTGATGGTAAATCATCCACGGTATATTAATGGCAGCATGATTAAATATAATGGATCCGAATTGATTTGATAATAATTAATCTGAAATTGAAAGAATTGAAGACAATTAGTATTGAATTAAATTTGGCTTTGATAAAACCAGTTATTCGATAACGCAAGGGTGTTATTCTCTAATCAGTTCCATGGTATTCATTTCTTTTTCAAAAATAATTTTTCAATTTAACGTGTAGAAGTTAATTTCGATGATTTAGAGCATTTTCGATCTTGATTTAAATGTAAACTCAAATTTAAATTTGAGTCAAAATGATCCAAAAAAATTTATCCAGCTTTAGACTCAAACTAATACCTAATAAAAATAACTTATTCTGAATCTAAATTGAAGTAGACTCAAATTTTATACTAAAATTTTAACAGTAACTTTTTAATCTATTCAAAATTAAAAGTCTCCTTCAACTTGTTCTTTGTCACTTCTTGCCTCTCTCTATTATGATACTTTCATCGCCGACTATTACCGAAACTTTCATAAATTATTTTCATCTTCCATCTTTTTTATTTTTTATTTTTTGTATTTTTCAAAACTCTAATCTCATCCATCTTTTGAAATATATAAACACTAAGTCTACCCACTACTTTTTTTTGTTGATTTTTTCAATTTAAATACTATTGGTAGTACAATTTCAAATTATCAATTTTTTTTTGAAATTTTAAGCCTTCGTTACCCACAAATTTAAAAATTTTGCCATTTTATTTCTTCAATTTTTTATGTTTGATAAAAACGTATGTTTTGTGTTCTTCAAACTAGACCCATGTCAAAATATAGATTTACAAAAAATGATGCGAGACTAGAACAATCTTAAAATTTTGGAGTGTATTCTTTATTTTCATGTAGTGGTGTATATATATTCATTTTTTTTGAATTACTCATTTGTAAAAAGAATTGAAAGTTTCATTTATTTTATCAAATATAATGATTTGAATGACACAAAAAAAAATGAGTTTTGGGACAATAAGAAATTTTTTTTAAAAAAATTGAGTAGATATTTGAATTTGTCCATTAAAGTGCTCTATATCAAATCAATTTTTTTACTCAAATTTGTGTCATTATTGAATATGCTCTTATAAACAACTAAAAATTTGGCATTAACAACCACTCACGATGTCTTAGAATACAATTTTCAACTGCGACACTATTCGACCCCCCTTATCATAAAATCCTCGTACAGTCGGTAGTTATGAAAACCTCTCTTGTTAAAATACAAGGAAAATGTTATTTGAACTTAATTTAAAAATTTTATTTGAGTGTCTAATGATGTATAATCATTGGATTGATTGTGGGTTCCATCTAATATTGAACTCACAATTAATCTAATGATTTCATTGAAGTCACATCATTAAATTCTTAAATAAGGTCCTTATAACATTGCTCAAATAAAAAAACTTTGGTTGTTCTTTCCCCTACTTTGGGCTCTTTATATCCGAGCTTAGTATTATTTAACTTAGTTTTAAGGGTTAATAACACTTTTAGTCAATAAAGTATTCAATTCATATTTAAATGATCCCCGTATAAATGAATCATTAATTTTTAAACAAAATGATCACGTGATACAGTCTAAAAGAATGACACGTTATCACTTTTGTAAAAACACTTAATAAATTGTCTGATTAAGGATTAAAGGGGCACGAATTGAATCATTAAGAATCAAATTGAGAAAATTAATATAATAAGGACCAAACTAACAAAACGGGCATACTTTAAAGACTAAAAATACTATTAACTCTAATTTAACATATGAATTGATCTGAGTTGAGTTGAATTCACCTATTACCGTAATAGCAATCAAAATATTGTCCAATAAAGTTAATGAGATATATTGATTTAATCGTTCGCATCAATTTAAGACACAAAATTTGACCAAAATTTTAGTATAAACTTGATTACTGCATCACATGATTATACCTTTTGTTTACATTAACTTGCAATTAACATTGGTTACCACCTAATACAAGTATATGTTTTGTAATTTGTGGGAACAAATTAATAAATAATATTGGGTTTTGAGGCCCCATTGAATGCTCTCAAAACGTCCATGAAACAAACAAAGACAACATGCTCACAAAAGACCTTCCGAAAAAACAAAAAACAAGCTCACAAAGGCACAAGTAGTCTATCTTAGTTCCTAACACAACTTAGGGTTTTGCTCCAAAGTGTCTGTCTGCCACAAACAAGTTCCAAAACGACAACTTCCCCAATTCCCTAATCACAAAAACATTTTTTTTTTTTTTCAAAACTGTAGCCAAAAGAGATTGTTCTTTACTATGGTAATGAGATCAGATATACGTAGTCATCCCCGTGTTTCACGGACCAACCGGCAGAGCCTTGTTGTGTATGGGTCGTCGTCTTCTCACATGAGTATAATCCATGGTGAAGAACTGTGAGGTCTCGGTCCCTTCCTCCACCCACTCTCGCCATGTCCCTTTTCTTGAATGCAGCTTGTTTTCTTCTGTGAGATGGAGCTTATCTGAACATGCATGGTACATTAAACAAATTCAGAAGATTGAACTTAGGAACATTGTACGAAAAAGAGTACTTATTAATTCAGCCAACCCTTGTTCAAACAAACCCCTCTCAGAAACATGAAACAAAGAAATAAGTCGCATAGTTTGGAGGCCAAGTCCATTTATTTTTACATGTAGTAGTTCTTTTTAATTGAATATGGGTTTATCGTTTTTTAGTCGAACTAGTCATCAAATGTGGTTGTTGTATATTTCAACGTGAAATTTTTGAATCCATTTATAATCATATTACTCACAATTTGTGGATGATTGCAAGCATCGAATGTTTACATTATAAGCATAAGCGTAGTTGATAGGTGATTGGGATTGGGTTTGGGTTTGTTTTTTATTATTGAATGTAATATTGACAATGTACAACTTTAGTGCACTTAAATTCTCTGAAAGTGACAATGCATGTCTACTCTAACTTATCTTTCTCCTTGTGATAAGTTTAATAATTTGATGCAACTAATGCATGTGTATTTCAAGATTTCAAAGGTTAAATAACAATGCCAGATCTGAAAGTAAACAGCAATCAGGGCCTTGTTTAGTTCAGTGAATCGTGATTCGTGTGCAATTAAGGTCAAGAGCAAGCTTGTTTATTTATTTTTTTTTGATAAATTTTAAGAGAGGAGGGGAGACCAATAGATAGTAATTCTTAGCGTGAGTACGAGGGTTTTCTATTATAAAATGTTTGGTTTGAGGCATAAGTACAAACCCGGGAGAGTAAGTTTATTAAATGCNTTTTTTTTTTTTTTCAAAACTGTAGCCAAAAGAGATTGTTCTTTACTATGGTAATGAGATCAGATATACGTAGTCATCCCCGTGTTTCACGGACCAACCGGCAGAGCCTTGTTGTGTATGGGTCGTCGTCTTCTCACATGAGTATAATCCATGGTGAAGAACTGTGAGGTCTCGGTCCCTTCCTCCACCCACTCTCGCCATGTCCCTTTTCTTGAATGCAGCTTGTTTTCTTCTGTGAGATGGAGCTTATCTGAACATGCATGGTACATTAAACAAATTCAGAAGATTGAACTTAGGAACATTGTACGAAAAAGAGTACTTATTAATTCAGCCAACCCTTGTTCAAACAAACCCCTCTCAGAAACATGAAACAAAGAAATAAGTCGCATAGTTTGGAGGCCAAGTCCATTTATTTTTACATGTAGTAGTTCTTTTTAATTGAATATGGGTTTATCGTTTTTTAGTCGAACTAGTCATCAAATGTGGTTGTTGTATATTTCAACGTGAAATTTTTGAATCCATTTATAATCATATTACTCACAATTTGTGGATGATTGCAAGCATCGAATGTTTACATTATAAGCATAAGCGTAGTTGATAGGTGATTGGGATTGGGTTTGGGTTTGTTTTTTATTATTGAATGTAATATTGACAATGTACAACTTTAGTGCACTTAAATTCTCTGAAAGTGACAATGCATGTCTACTCTAACTTATCTTTCTCCTTGTGATAAGTTTAATAATTTGATGCAACTAATGCATGTGTATTTCAAGATTTCAAAGGTTAAATAACAATGCCAGATCTGAAAGTAAACAGCAATCAGGGCCTTGTTTAGTTCAGTGAATCGTGATTCGTGTGCAATTAAGGTCAAGAGCAAGCTTGTTTATTTATTTTTTTTTGATAAATTTTAAGAGAGGAGGGGAGACCAATAGATAGTAATTCTTAGCGTGAGTACGAGGGTTTTCTATTATAAAATGTTTGGTTTGAGGCATAAGTACAAACCCGGGAGAGTAAGTTTATTAAATGCATATAACTACCTGATGAAACTTCCTTCTGCTTATTGGATGGCACCAAATCTTTGTTTCCAGAACTTGTGATCACCTATTTTATAGGAACTCAAAAGTTAGAGGAATCTGCAAGTATATTGAGAGATAAGTTAATTTTATGATTCTACTTTCGAAGAGAGAGACAAAAGTTTACACACTTCTTCATTGAGCTTGAGCTTCCTTGGTAGTGTATGGATAAGCTGGAGGTCCTGAGCTGCACAGATGGCAAGCACACATAAAATTGTGTATCTGCCAGTGTGTGTGTGTGTGAGAGAGAGAGAGAGTCATTACCTTGTTCATGGTATGATTGTATCTGAATTTTCTGGGAAGCACAGGGTGTGAGCATAACTGAGAGACCAATACAAACCACAGTGATGACTTTGATCAGCTCCATTACTCAGTATGTGAAATTTTCGTTTGTGGGTGTGAGTTGGAACTTATATAACTCAAGGGAAGCAGCCCAAATCTCTGCTGTGTGTGTGTGTGTGTTGAGAGAGAGAGAGAGAGCATACACAAAACACAAAATGTAGAGTTCCAAAAACTAGTACAGCAAAAGATAACATTTTTATACTTCCTTTTGAGGATCCTTCAGTTCACACCATTTGGGTTGATTTTGACACCTCCCTAATGCTAGGCCCAAGGGTTTGTAGCTGTATAATATTCAGAAAATTAAATTATATCTCGATATATACTTGCAGAGTAATTTTTAGGTATCATTTTTTTTTTGCCAATCACAAAATTAGACGAGTAATTTTTTTTATTATTTTATTGTTTTTAAATATTATAGGGGTAAAAATCATAATTTATCTCTGATCTTTGTCTCCAACTTTTATTTAGCCCATAAACTTTTAATTATTTTAATTAAGTCTCTCAACTATCAATTTCGTCTCAATTAAGTCTTTCCATCAATTGTCATCGTTAAATCAATTGGAGACTAGCCCGAATCTGATCCATCCATTTTGTCTTAGTTGATCCAACGGTGAATATAGACAAAAAGATTTAATTGAGATAAAATTGATAATTGAAGAATTAAATTGAAAAAATGAAAAATTGAAAAACCAAATTAAAATTGATGACAAAGTTAAGAGATAAATAATATTTTTTACCCATATTATTATTACTTTTAAGATCAATGATGGCTATACCTCATAATAAAATCTCATTTTTTAGCATGATACAAAAAAAATTAAATTTCCGTACTATGGACTTTTGCATTTTTAAAGTCAGCATATATGTGTCCATCAACCTAAAATGCTAATGTTTGTTAGAGGAATATCAAAAGCTGAATCCTTCTTCACACCAATGGCACCCTACATTAACTCACCTTCATGAGTGCTGGTGAACAGCTCATTGCGGACTATAGCACTGTGTTACCGAAAAGTTTTGGTACTAAAAAATAATTTTTTGATATTATAATTGAACCCGACTACAGTACCAACTTTTTTTTTGGTACAATATCTCAAAATTTTACTACTTTAATGCGTATTTTTACAACTTTTGTTAGTCAATTTACAACAAAAAAAAAAATTATAACTTTTATGAGTATTTTTATCATTTTTATGGTACTTATGATTGATCCTAAAAATCCACTTTTGTATTACTTGCGATTGACTAATAAAAAAAAAATACTTATCACAAAATAATAAAAACATCAATAAAAATTATAAATAACCGTACAATACCAAATTTTTTTATTTTTGGGGGTACCGTAGACCTTTCCTATGTTCCATATGTGTTTGATACCCAACGGAAAGATTTTCGAAGAGCTCATCAAATCAAAAATAATAGCTCAGACAAGCCATTTTTGCCTCACAAAGTAGGGTAAAAATGTGCAGTTGTGAGTCACTTTTCAAATTGTGTCATACTTAGTTAAACAAGGTTATTGTATCACAATCAAATTATTTGTGTTTGAACTTTGGCAATAATCCAACTCTTTTATTCTTCATATAAGCAGATTGTCAAACCAAATTTGGACTTTTCAAGTTTCTAATACCAAAAGCCCCAAACAATCACTTATGGATAGAACTGATAACACATAAAATGAAAACCTTACAAGACTCTTCATCATATCCATATATACAAGAGGATAAAAATGCATGCCAAAAATATAAGACAATCGATCACTTTGCAACTTCCATGCTTTTTCACAACTCCAAGCATAAACTAGTGAACCTACGGCAAATGGGATACCAATCCTAAGGGAACATCAGAATGTATATCTACGGTACCAAATGGGTCGTGTGTATAGTATTGATGATTTGTATATTTGGACTAATAACCTATAAATAGAATAGAAGGATTTAGAATCTACAGCAAAGAAGGCTCTGCATCCAGCTCCTACGTTTACGATGATGTTTTTGATCTGCTTTCACCATTCTTACAGGACTGCTACTCCACTCAGGCTGTAAACTGTAAAAACAAATAAAATTCCTGAGTTGTGTCACAATGAATTTTGATAAACGGTACAAAAAAAGAAGAACAATAGACTCTAATAGCTTACATGGGGAAGGCAAAGGACCGGGTGCTGGTTGTGCTGCTATCTGATCGAAGAGAGTTGCTACCTGAATATGCAATTGGCCCTGAGTAAGTTATCAGACCAGACATTGTACCTGCCATAGAGAAACTTGACTGTCCTTCCCCACGTTGAACTTGGTTAGCAAGGGAGACATTATCAGAAACCATATCACCATGATTAGGCTCCTTTTTTGATTCAGGAACATTTTTGGGCTGTTCATGATCATTTTCAGGTTTCTCATCTCTGCTACTAGTTCTACTCTCCACCTTCCTAGTACAAGATAAGGTGTCAGCTACGCCATTCTTGTTTGAGTCTTCATCTGCTGATACCACAACAGGGCTATCTACGACTGCTTCGGCACATGGAATCTGCAGTTTCAGCAATAACAAGCCAAATCAAATTCCACAGTAAGCCAATGGTGTCTCATGCACATACAACATCCTTTAAAGTATGAAATTTTTGGATGCCAACCAATACCAATTGGCAAGAGGGGGTATTTAGTTTTCTAACATACCAACCAAATGGTCTATAGAAAATTAGAAACAAAACAAAAAAGGGAAACTTCTGGACTTCTAATTTTTTCTAATACCTAAAACATTAACAAGTCAAATGGTTATTCTTACAAGGGATTATGAACATAAGCTTTTCTATATTTTCCGTTCAAGGATGTCCATCCATTGCAGGGGTTAAACTTCGCAACCAACATGCTTGTGAAGCCACAGAACTCAGACTCTAGTATTGGCTTCACATGAGGGTTAAGGCATCTAAATTTCAGAACAAAAGCAAACTTATATTGAAAGAACATAATGCCAGACGCAATTTTAAGACACAAAGCGGCTCAAGAGGACAATCCATCCCATGTGTGGGGGACCCACGCCACTACTATTGCATTGCATACAAACCTGGCAAGATTGTTCTGCAACTTCATTGCCATCACAATCAGAAATTTTTAGGAGGGACTCGAGAGATGTCTCTGTACCAAACTCGTGCTCGGGCAACATGCCACTGGGAACAAACTCCTCTCTTGGCGCATCATCCACTTCCTTGTCAATTGCATTACAATCTGTTTCAAACATTTGGGCAGAATCCTCAGCCTCAGGACCACATTCCTTGGCAGCATCCTTGTGAATATCAACTTTTGACGAAGATTTCAACCCATCTGGAATGAGAAATTCAATATCTGTTCTTTCTTTGGCTTCGCAATCTTTAGAAGCATCCTTGTCACAATACTTCTCTGGTGATGAATTTAATCTATCTGGAATGAGCAACTCAATATCAACACTTTCTTTGGCATCCACACTGATTTTATTTTCAGCACTAATAAGGGAGTTCCAGTGACCCGTATGATCAACCTCACTGCTTTCAATCAAAATCTTGTCATCAGAAAGCACCCCCTCATCAATGCAGATGTCCTTGACAACATACAATTCCGGCAGATGACATTGCATTACATTTTTGTCGTTGCATAAATTCATATCCTTCTCAAACCAATCTGAATGAGTGGTACATCGTGCCTCAGTGAAATCATCCAGAACCACGGAGCATTCAGGTTGGTCAGCACTCCAGAGTTCGACTCTGTTTCTAGTATCAGATTTAGATGAATCCGCATGTCTCCCACAGCCATTTGAAGGACACAAAACTTCATTCTCATTTGCTTTTATCAGTGAATCTCTCATGTCATTTTCATTACTGTTGGTAAAGTCATCCATAACCCCAGAGCAATTAAGTTCTTGATTCTTCCAGAATTCACCTTCATGGTTCGTCTTGGGCGCCATTGTATCAGCATCCCTTCCATAGCTATTATGACACAAGATTCCGTTCTGATTTTCCATCATGGTCCCCTTTGGTTGAAGGGTATTAGGAGGACTGGCATTGTATCAAATGGGTTTGGAATTAGGATCATGCTTAAAGACCAAACTCGAAAGACAACACACGGGTTCGTTATTAGCAGGTACATTTAAATTCTCAATGCATGTGATAGTTAAAAGATTTTTTTCATGGAAAAATCCAATTTCTGTTATCTTGAAATGCATAAAGCATAAATTTAGCGATAAATGTAAATTGAAACAAGTATGATATAAAACCAAACCATACACAGAATAGCAATACGTGCAAACAGGGCACAGTGGAAGCATAGAACTGAACTTCAAAAATTAAATTTTTGATGAGGCCCTGTATCACGTGATCGTCAGATGATGAATATTAAGTATTTACACTGAATAAAAAACTGAATATCAGATATGTCCTCTGTAGACCTTGAATATAAATTTCAAAAGCAACCGCATTCCAAAAAGCAACATTACCAGGTTTCATGATTCACATTGGTTTGAAGGTTATGGAGAACTCTTAACAACTGAGAAGCAAACATCCACTACTCATGCAGACCGTATCTATCAAAAGTAAATGAGGTTAGGTTAATGTACAGAAAGGATTGAAGTTGAAAAAGGAACCAGAATATTTCAACTCCTTAAAACAAACCAGAAACAGAACATTAATCTATTCTTAATATGGATTCACTAGAAAACAATCATTTTATCTCAATTTAAATTAAAAAAATTCAATCAAACTTCCAAGAATTTCCAAAAAACAAATGAACATCTTCTAATGAATGGGAAAGAAATGAATCAACTACCAAAAAATTTGTGTAGCCCAATAAATACAACAGAACTAGCATCACTAAAAGAAAACCAAACTTCAGGGTAGTATACAAGAGTAACAAAGCTCCAACATAGGAAATTTAGAAGCAAATGTTTATCCCAATTTCACCTTTTTCACTTTCATCGACTCAGTTATCCTCATAGGCCAATATAAGCAAGACTACATACAAACACAGGCATGTACATACACACATAATAGTCTCAATGATAAATAAATGGTAAACAACTAAACACAGATTACTTATCCGCCAAATGGAATCTAGAAAGGAAAAAAAAAAAGAAAGAAAGGACAAGAAAAACTTCCACACCTTTGACAGAATCTACATAATTTTTTAGTCAAAAAAAACTTAGTTGCAACAACCCACCACGCTTTTGTCTGGTAGCTCTCACTAAATCTAACCCATTTGTTTATCTGGGTTTCCCTCCAAACCCAAATAGGTCTCTCAACGATCTCATAAAAGTAAATAATAGTAAATACCAAAAATGAAAAATCTGACAGATTCAAATCAGATCCCAACAAAAATACCATTATCACAACCAAAACCTATAAACATAACATATGGGCGTTATTTCGTGTGTGTGTGTGTGAGAGAGAGAGAGAGACGATGATTGGCCAAATCAAAGCTCAGCCGGCTACAACAAAAAAAAAAGAAAAAGAAAATGTGAGAGGGAGAGTTGAAAATTGAATAGAAGTACCAGAGAGAGAGAGAGAATGAAGGGGCAATAATAATCTAACCCTAGCTAGCAATTAAAAATGGTCAACTGTATCTTTCTCTCCCTACACATACATCTGTTTCACTGTAATCAATTCACAGGTATAATTACATAGAAAATAGGCAGTTGGCTCCACTCCACCACGAAGAGAGACTAGTATATTGACAGTTTAAATCATTAAATATCTCTCTCGCCCTCGAAATGATCAAATTTGAAATGAAAAAAATGGAAATTTCAATTTATGAACAGAGCAAATTTTCCATTCGAAACACTGATCTAACTTCTCAGACTCCACCACTCACCTGACATATAGAATTTCCATTGTCCGGCACAGCTCACTTCTAATTCGCCGGAAAGCGATCAATCTCCGCCACCCGGAAATTCCGAAGCAGTTTAGTCTAGATCCAGCTCATCAACGTCGGAACTTTTCAAAATCGTTTTCTGGTTGGCCTGAAACAGAGGATTCGAGGCGTCGGAAAGTTTGAAAATGGTGCCGGAGAGTCGCTGACAATAAGAGAAAGTCAAAGATTTTGTCTGGTTCGCCGGAAAAGGTTACCTGTCAGATACGTATGTGTTCAGCGAATCTGCAGTCTAGCTTCTCTTGGGATCTCTTTGTTTTGTTTTAATAATGGGTGAATCACACTTTGTGTACCCCAAAAGACTTCAAAATTCTCAATTTACACTCATAATGATTTAACTTTTTAACATTATACTCTGTTGCTATAAAATAGTTCAAATCTGATCCTGACACTAATTTTCACTGTCATTTTCTTCAAATTTTATTACATTTAGTAGGAGCGTTCAAATTTTCGATTGATCATAATTTCTTATCTTACCCGGCCCTATTCTATTCTACTGAACGACTAGTCTCAAAAATCAAATAAAAATGTAGAAGAGTTTTTGGTCTTCCGATTAAATCGGGTAAGAATGTGAAATATTCATCTATTTCTGTATTTCTACCCTATCCTACCCGTAAAAAATATATTGNTTAGAAGCAAATGTTTATCCCAATTTCACCTTTTTCACTTTCATCGACTCAGTTATCCTCATAGGCCAATATAAGCAAGACTACATACAAACACAGGCATGTACATACACACATAATAGTCTCAATGATAAATAAATGGTAAACAACTAAACACAGATTACTTATCCGCCAAATGGAATCTAGAAAGGAAAAAAAAAAAGAAAGAAAGGACAAGAAAAACTTCCACACCTTTGACAGAATCTACATAATTTTTTAGTCAAAAAAAACTTAGTTGCAACAACCCACCACGCTTTTGTCTGGTAGCTCTCACTAAATCTAACCCATTTGTTTATCTGGGTTTCCCTCCAAACCCAAATAGGTCTCTCAACGATCTCATAAAAGTAAATAATAGTAAATACCAAAAATGAAAAATCTGACAGATTCAAATCAGATCCCAACAAAAATACCATTATCACAACCAAAACCTATAAACATAACATATGGGCGTTATTTCGTGTGTGTGTGTGTGAGAGAGAGAGAGAGACGATGATTGGCCAAATCAAAGCTCAGCCGGCTACAACAAAAAAAAAAGAAAAAGAAAATGTGAGAGGGAGAGTTGAAAATTGAATAGAAGTACCAGAGAGAGAGAGAGAATGAAGGGGCAATAATAATCTAACCCTAGCTAGCAATTAAAAATGGTCAACTGTATCTTTCTCTCCCTACACATACATCTGTTTCACTGTAATCAATTCACAGGTATAATTACATAGAAAATAGGCAGTTGGCTCCACTCCACCACGAAGAGAGACTAGTATATTGACAGTTTAAATCATTAAATATCTCTCTCGCCCTCGAAATGATCAAATTTGAAATGAAAAAAATGGAAATTTCAATTTATGAACAGAGCAAATTTTCCATTCGAAACACTGATCTAACTTCTCAGACTCCACCACTCACCTGACATATAGAATTTCCATTGTCCGGCACAGCTCACTTCTAATTCGCCGGAAAGCGATCAATCTCCGCCACCCGGAAATTCCGAAGCAGTTTAGTCTAGATCCAGCTCATCAACGTCGGAACTTTTCAAAATCGTTTTCTGGTTGGCCTGAAACAGAGGATTCGAGGCGTCGGAAAGTTTGAAAATGGTGCCGGAGAGTCGCTGACAATAAGAGAAAGTCAAAGATTTTGTCTGGTTCGCCGGAAAAGGTTACCTGTCAGATACGTATGTGTTCAGCGAATCTGCAGTCTAGCTTCTCTTGGGATCTCTTTGTTTTGTTTTAATAATGGGTGAATCACACTTTGTGTACCCCAAAAGACTTCAAAATTCTCAATTTACACTCATAATGATTTAACTTTTTAACATTATACTCTGTTGCTATAAAATAGTTCAAATCTGATCCTGACACTAATTTTCACTGTCATTTTCTTCAAATTTTATTACATTTAGTAGGAGCGTTCAAATTTTCGATTGATCATAATTTCTTATCTTACCCGGCCCTATTCTATTCTACTGAACGACTAGTCTCAAAAATCAAATAAAAATGTAGAAGAGTTTTTGGTCTTCCGATTAAATCGGGTAAGAATGTGAAATATTCATCTATTTCTGTATTTCTACCCTATCCTACCCGTAAAAAATATATTGAACTTTTTTATATTTTTTTAGTAATTATAAGAGTATTTGTGTGGTATAATTTATATTATAACATTGTTATTATTATAGATGTTTGAGTTGCTAAAACATGGACTTATTTTTTGTGTAGGTTACATAATTTGTGGTAAACTAACAATCTATTGGAGCAATTATAATTTTAATATGTTTCATATGGTTTAAACTTAAAATAATTGTTATTTTATTTGTGTAATAATTATGATAGATTGATGTTCATACTTACTTGTGTTTTATTATAATTATTATTGTAGATGTTTTAGGTTTTAGTGTTATTGATTTATTGTATTGTTAATTGGTGCATGTTATTTAATTGAATTATTAAAATGATCCAAAAATTAATAGCAACAAAAGTGTTTATCCAATTTTCTACCTGACTTCCTACCCAATTAATCGGGTAGGAATACCATAATTGATCAAATAGGGCAGACGAAGAAAATTTTTTTTTGTAAAATATCGAATAAGAAGACAAATTTTCTAACAATGAGTGTGGTTGTTGTATACCAAATTTGACAAAAATTATAACAGAACTTAATGTGAAAAGCCAAATTACAACTTTTTTGTAACATTCAAGGTGTTATATTGACCACTCAAGTAGGGGGGGTCCAGTTATAAGTTGTACTAATTTAAAATCGTTCCGACTCTTGTGTAATTATTAAGCAGAGTTTAATTTACAAGGGCAATACGACTTGTTGTTTGGTTTTTGGTGGTGTTATAGTCACAATCTAACATTTTTAATTAGTAATTATAGCTCAAATCGGACATTTCACAATATAAGATCTTCATGGTCATACTTATGGAGTTACTACCTACTCATAGTCGCCTCTCTCCCTTTTTTCTAAAAAAAAAACCACCAAAAGGTACTATATGAAAAAATTAATAATAAGAGAATTAATTAAAATTTTAAAAAAAATTTAAGTGCAAAATATAACTCGCCCTTTAATAATTGAGAATGATCAAGATTTTATTTACGCTAGTAACAAAAAAAAATATACATATATCAAATCATGTGTATCCAATCAAAATATCTTTTGAAAATTTTAAACTTAAGGTAATTCAACAATAGAGTATTGAAAGTTACTATTTGAGTTAATTGTATTTTTAGGGCTTAAAGTATGTATTTTTTGTTAGTTTAGTTTTCATTGTATTAATTTTATAAATTTAATCTTTAAAATATTTAATTTGTATTATTTTGATCCCTACATAGACGATTGTTAAGTTTTTAACGGAATGATCATGTCATGTGTTGAGCACATGATACTGTCTGAAAGAATAACACGTGATTATTTTCGTCAAAAAATTTAATGGATTGTCTGATTAGGGACGAAAGTGACAGATTAAATATTTTAGATACTAAATTGATACAATAAAGATTAAATTGACCAAAAAAATATATTTTAAAGATCAAAAATACTATTTACTCTTACTATTTATCAATTTTTGAATTATAACTTATATTTCAAAAAAATATAAATTAACCTAAAAAATTATAAATTTCGATACGGTACTAAAATCGGTACCGTAGTCTTCCTCTTAAACATATAGTCTTGATTCTAGAATTAGTAATTTATGAAAAAACAAATCAATCTAATCTATCTATAAAATTAAAATAATCTATAAAACATTTATTTATCATATTAGAAAGTCAAAATATTAATCATTGAAAATATAACTACTTAATCAAAATATTTAGTGTGATTAAAATTATAAATTGCAAGCTTAACCGTTAAATGAAATTACTATCGGTCATTGTTGATTGATAAGGAAAATGTATTAACGATCAAGAAATACGATATTGAAATATAGATTCAAGTTGATAATACAATACTCTATAAAAATTAATTTAGATATATTACTATTCGATGTAGGTGTAATTTAATCCCAAATAGTAAATTTACTAATTTAGTTGAATGACTAAATTTAGTTGGAATTCAAATGGTATATCGAAAGCCAGCTCACTTGTCATCCAGGTCAAACATAATTTTTTGCTTTTAGTCTTTAGTATAAACGACAAACTTAACTCATTATTCATTAATCAGTTTAATCGGTTCAATCTATTCATAGATAAATGAGTTGGGTATCTATATTAATTAATGTGGGTTCTAAATGTGTTGGGTAATATAATTTATTTTAATTAAGCGAGTTAAGATGTATTATAAATGTGTGCTCGTTGAATTGAGTATTTATTTTTTACTAAATAATAAAAGTAAAAAAAATTATATAAATATACTAATATACAAAAAAATATACACACTATTACATTAAAAAATACACATATATACACTAATATATCATAAACACACACAATCACACACCAAAAACACAAATACTAATACACCCACAATAACCCATGACCCGACCCATAGGTTGACCCATGACCCATGCCCACATACCAACCCACAACACATGGCCAAGAGTCCACCTGACCCATTATGTGTATATTTTGATTTTTTATTAAATGTGTTTTGTTTTGTGTGTGTTAGTATATGTGTGTGTATTTTTGGTGTATTAATGTGTGTGTTTTTAGTGTATTAATGTATGTTTTGATGTATTAGTATGTTTGTATGTTTATATTTTGGTATACTAATGTGTGTATGTGTATGTTTTGGTATACCAATGTGTGTCTATTTAGAATTTTAATTATTTTATGGGTTAATGAGTTTAATTCAACCCGTTATAAATTCATTCCATGCAAGTGAAATATAAATTAAATTTATTTTAACATAACTTAATTTAATCCAATTCATAATCAATCCAGTTCACCCATTTCCTAAAGATCTCCTCAAGTATTTGGTATTTATTGTGAGAATGAAACTCATCCAATAGATCTCTCACACACACAACCCTCAAAAAAAGAAAAGAAAAGGATGACTTGCTTCAACAAACAAGCATTACCAATATTGCTATGTAAGTTTGTTAACGGATGAGATTAAAATAAGATTAATTGAGTTTATAATTTATTATTAAAGGGCAACGTTATGTGCATAAAAAATATACACCAAAATTTGCATTAAATTACTTACAGCCATTAGATCAATGAATCTTATTACTGATTCTACGACTGTAATTAATTTGATACAAATTTTAATATATAAACTTAATGCACAAAGTTATCCGATTAATAAAGTCTAGTTAATGCATGTTTCATCCGTACACTATGGATAACTCAAGTAGGTAGGGTAGGTAGTCCTTCACATTTTAATGAACTGAAACAGGTCAAGTTCTGTCATGGCTGTGTCCAACTGCAAAACAAGTTTTGTGTAATAAGCTGTAATGGCTAATCAATTCCTTTTCCCAAAAGTTCCCATCAAACTGTGACAACATTAACCATGGTGAACTTTAACCAGGAAAGGGAGATTGAGTATCACATAGGTTATTTTGGAGTCTTTCGTGATGAAACAGCAATTTAGTGCACTAATCTTCTATCGCTATTTGTTTTAAAAAAAGATTGATTTACGTAATCTTATGTCGTATACGTGAAAATTATTTTTGTGATTCAATATCTTGAAATTTAAAATTACAAATTAATGATGTATATACCAAAAAAGACGAGCATCTCTAAGTCACATTCATGGCAAACTTGCCCCCTTGTTGACATTATCCCAAAATTGAACAAATCTCGACAATTTGAGAACTCTTTGCCTATATTGATGATGATAGGTGGTCACTTATTCACCGTTTTTATTCTTTTTTTTCTTGTCGGCTATTTCGACTTGGATTTATTGAGAAAAATTGGGTTTAGATTTGAATTTGTCGAGAAAAATGAAATGTCAAACACAAAAGACAACCGGAAAATCAACTCATTTCTTGGTTTTAAACAACCTCACCTGGTTACACCTTCCTCCATAGTGGTTTTTCCGATTTCACATTTAATCAAACTTTGTTTATGTTGGATGGGGTGAGAGAAATTGAGAGAAAATATGTGGTGGACCATCTCACTCCATGGAAGCTTTTATCGGAAAGTTTTTTAGGCCTCACATAATTTAGGAGTGATAATTTTTGACACGATAATACTTGAAATTGATATGAAATTTGGTAGGTTATGGTTAATTATTTCTCGATATGAACCCGTGAACGACCTGACCTATTAAGATAAATAATAAATAAGTCAGGTTAATGTTAAATACGAAATTGACACGATTAACAAGTTTAACTAGTATTATAAAAATAAAAATATTAAATTTTATAATTTTTAGTCAAATAGTGACATAATTATTGTATAAAAAAATATTTTTATTTTTATATTTATTAAATTAATTTTTAATTTATAGAAAAATTATAAATATAAATTCGATTAAGTGACAAATAAATTTTAAACTTAAATAGATTAACACAAACACCACATAAAAATAAATAAATAGGTCTGTTCGACCTGACAATTAATTAAACAAAACCGGGCCTCAAATCCCCTCGAATCTGCATTTGATCGCAGAAGGATGAGACAAGAGGACATGAACTTGGCCGCCTCGATATAAATGGGGCCCTATGCAAAATCTTTAAATGGGGCCCTTCTCCCTCTCTCTCTCTGTCTAGACCCACCTTTCCCCAGTTTCTCTATTGTATAAAATCCTTTGTGTTCTTGTTTTTTATTTTCTTGATATTTTATTACGCGACACAAAAAATAGATAGTTGGTGATGCCAGTTTATGCTCCGTTTCATAGGCAAGATAAAAAGTAACATAAATATATTTTTTATTTTTTAAAGATGAAAAATAAAAATGATACATTTTCTTTTCTTTGTGTTTGATTAGATAGATGAAAAATAAAAATAACTAATTTTTTTTTGTGTTGGCTAAGATTATGGGTGATAATTAAATCGTATCGTGTCGGATTCGTATTGAGTCATAAAATTATGAGCCTTTTATATTTTTTGTTCATGTGTCAGATAATTTTCAAGTTCGTGTCATAAAATTTGTGTCGAGTTCAATTCGTGTTATCGTGGTGAGTCGAAAATTTTCATCCTTAGTTAAGATGAAAAAAATATTTTTTTTAAAAATAGACAAAATATATGAAATTAGACAAATAAGATATATCTCAATATAAATAATTAACTTTTAATCTACTTTCTTTCCGATATTGGAGGAATTAATTTTGGTGAGTTGGAAGGAAAGTTAATTCATCCACTTTTTTTCCTTCCTATTTTTCTTCTTTATCAAATATGATGTTTTATTTATTCCTTCAACTTTCTATATTTCTGTTTTTTCATCATATCAAACGGAACATAAGTCACTTTGATTCTTGAGTCAAAGTTTGTATCTTTGAAAATAGGATAAATTATAATTACGTAAAATACTTTTTATTTAAATTACTTCATATAAGAGAATAAAATTTAAGGATCAATTTAGTCATTTGATTTTATTGCATAATATTTTTAGCCATAGATCCATTATTAGTATATATATTTGTATTAAAATAATTTTTATTTGTATTTGTGTTAGTACTTTAATTATACTAAGGGTAACTCATCCCGAAGGCACAGTGCGAGTGATTTCAAAATCTTAATTTGTCTTGAACTTTTGACGACTCAGATTAATTATGACCTAATTTGTTGACTTAATCAATCATAGATTAATTATGAATCTCAACCAATACTAGAATACATTGTTATTCAATAGTTATAAATGATTATGTCAGTAAATTATATCTAAATAACACTGCTTAAAAAAAAATCAAAAAGAATAACAGGTTTTAGGCACGACTCTTATGCTCCGTTTAGTATGATAAAAAAATAGAAGGATTGAAAGTTTGATGGATGGAAAGTTGGAGGAATAAATAAAACATCATGTTTGGTAAGGAAGAAAAATAGGAAGGATGAAAAAGTGGATAAATTAACTTTCCTTCCAACTCACTAAAATCAATCCCTCCAAAATCGGATAGAAAGTAGATAAAAAATTAATTATTTGTGTTAAAATGTATCTTATTTGTCTATATATTATATATACATTAATTTTATATAAAAATACAATGAAAAAATATGTATATATATAAAATAAAACAGGAGTGTGTTTGAATTTTATCTCAATCATATTTTTCTCCTAAAAATCATCATCAATCACTTACCTCACTCACCATTCATTTGTCAGAGCATCACTTATTTCTATCATATGTTTAATCATTTATATATTTTTT